TCGGATTGCGTACTCAGTGATTAGTGTAGCAATGAAATATTTTATATTCTATTTGCGTGTTGAATTATCGTATTAAATCTGCTTGTCAGTGTATTTTTAGCGGATGCCTGTTTTTCATAAACACACTGGCAAGTTTTTATCTGTTTTTTTTTTTTTTTTTTTTTTCGTGAATTACCTTGTTTACGAATGCATCTACTTATCTTCTTTGTTTATCAAAAAGTTGATTTTTCAAGCAACTGGAGTTAAGTAAAATTTCATGGATTAAAATTTATTATATTTCTATGAATATTAACTGTTTGAAATGTATAATAGTTGTTATTATTATTCCCCCCTCCCCTAATGACGGGCTCTAGCTGTTAATAAGCATTGTCCAAACAAAGGACAGGGTGGTGTCTTTAGTATCGAGGCGCCTAATAGGTGGGCCGCCGTTGCTTCTATAAAGGGACGGACAAATTACATCCATGCCTTTTCCGGGATTCGAAACCGGGCCCATCGGTACGGCAATCAGAATCACTAACCATTTCCCCGTCTGAACGGCATATATAATTATTAGGCACGTTAAAATGCCAGTGATTAAAAAAATAGCTTAATTTAACATATATATTTTTACGATTAATATTTTCACTGTGGATCTGTAGAAAGTTTCGAAATAAGGAAGACAACTGCTCAAGAGAATATTTTCAAATTCAGTAGAAGCTTTATTCTATTGGGTATAGCATTTAAGTTTTGATCTTTCTCCCCCCCCCTTTGGTTTTTTTTTAAAGTTTCAGCTAACACTTTCCAGACTGCGTGGTGGCTAATCAGTAGATGAATAGTTAAGACTTTTTGCAACACCAAGGGCGTAGCTAGAGATGGGCAAAGGGGGGGGGAATTTTTTCCCGGGCGCAGCTTTTGGCTAGGCCTAGCAACAATAGAATGTTCCACCAATTGAGTACAAATGCTGATAGTCATATAACAGGAGGTACCAGCAACTCAGCTGTTGATAAGTAAGTTTCTAGTAGGTGCCGAATTTTTAGAATGAAATATTTTCCACTCTTGGCAAACAGAAAGGAGGCGCGAGATTTTCAATTATCTCCGGGCGCTGAAAATCCTAGCTACAGCTCTGTTCAACACTAACTGTTTATCTCAATAAACGGAGGAGCTGCGTGGAGTTTCTGTAGTTTTCTCCATGTATAGTATGAATACAAATCAATTTCTCCTAAGAAGTCCTTCACGGAAACAACTTTTCCAAGGGAGGCAATTGTTGCATGCTTTGCTATAATTAATTAACTAACCGAACCTACGTATTAGATGTGCTGGTTTACGACTAATCCCTACATAGTCCAATCATGAAGTTGTACGAATTTAAATATATTGCTTGATGTTCCGGTAGTAAATGCATTGCTGAGTTAAATATATTGCTTGATATGATTGAACTACATGAGGTGTTTGTTTAATAAAGCTCTCAGCTAACTGAACTGATTCATTACCGATACTTTCAAGTCTAAAATATATTTGCTATTGTTATTATTTGTGTTTAATTTTCCTGACTATGTAATCAGAAGTTGAGGCTTATCAGTTAGGGCCCGATTTTTACTTTCCATCTGCTGCTACACTCTCTCTCTCTCTCTCTCTTTCCTCCCCCCCCCCATATAAAGAGGGTTTTAGCCTGCAACTGGGAAATTGCATTATGACTTTTATTTCGGACTGAATTTATACAATACTGGCAACCAATCAATTTTAACACTTAACAGCAAAAGGTATTGCTCTCTTCAAAAGTCCCCCAAAAAGGCATCGTCAACCGTATGATAATAGCCCTCTGTGTTTTTCTGTATTGAATGAAACAAACAAAACAAAAGATGCATCTATATCATGTCGGTGACAAAATTATTTAAGATTATGGAACATTTCGAATTAGATACAAAAGCTCCAATTATATGGAGTGTAAATAGAATCAGGGTCCACAAATGGCTGCAATCAAACTTCGGCGAACGACGTGGCTGCAGGGGTGTTTTTGGTGATTTTTTTTTCGGTTGTGGTAACGTGAGCGTTGTGAGAGAGCCAGTCTTTCTTAGATAGTCCTCCACAAAGGCATCCCCTTCATTAGGCTGGCAGCTAAAAGTATAATTGTAATAAAACCGCAAGTAATAAAATTACTCAGTGAGTACTTCATAATGCAAGAGGCTTTATTAGGTCTGTAAATTTAATTGAACTTGCAAATTGTCTTCCCTTTGCAGAATGCAAATACTTTATCTGGCGGCTGCCAGTAACTTACAGACTGATAGGAAAGTTTTATTACTTTGTTTGTCTGAGTTACACTTAGGACCTGACAGCATACAGATTTTAGGGGATCCGTAAATCATTCCCTTGTAGTTGTTTCTTTATTCCATTCAAATACAAAAATTAGGTGTTTGAAAAAATGTTGTGTCTAAGGCTGTGCAAATCGACTTCTGCCAAAATTAAATGATGGTATCTGTTCGAATTTCCTCATGGCGAGTGATTTGGCGATCGCAACTCAAGGCCAGGCTGATGAGCACTTTCGCTGTAATACGGTTTCACTTTATTCGTTGCTATTGCGTGTGAGTGGTGTTTTCTGCTTCATGTTTGTGTTTTTGTCAAGCATTCGTGAAGTTATATTTACGTATTTCTGGAGGCATTTCTTAACTGTGCTGCAAATGTTTATGAATGAAATAGAAATTAATTTTGCTACGAGAATGGCTTGTACGTAAAGATTATCTCAATAATCAGATTTGTATACAATTTTCTGTAAATTTTAAAAATGAGGGATATAGATAGATGTTTAGGATAGAACTAAGTTTCCTTTTAAAACATTCTTTAGCTGCGTAATGTTTTTATTTAGCTACGGTAAAATATTGGCAATGGAATATCTGGTATGTTTTTAGTTTGTATGAATATCTAATAGCTTTCATAATGTGTCCTTGTGTTAGAAGCTGTAATTTTAATATTTCATATAAGTTATATGTTAGAATAGTAACCGCCCCCCTGAACATTGCTTATGCAAATTGCATACCGTCATTATTTATTTTCCCTGTTGCCTATATGTAAATTAAAGAGAAGATCGCTTAGTTTTTATTATTTTTTAATAAAAAGTATAAAAGATGATTAAATGTGATAATAAATTTCTCATGTCTTGTCATTGTCATTATTAGAATGTACATTGAATAAAGTTTTCATGACTATCTATATTTTTCCTCAGTTCCGTTACATTAAATTGTGGTAAGTCTTTGAACTTCAAAAATAATTGATGAAATACTTTTATTTATTTTTTATTTATGTATTTTATTAGTTTGATGCTAATAATACATACCATAAAATTATTTCGGATTAATTAAATTTATAAAAATTGATTTTATAAAATTTTAATTGCTTGCAGGATATGTTAATTTGTATCAATTAAATAAAAAATCAAATTCATATATATTCGAACTAAACATGCAAATTAAATACAAAATTAATTTTTTGTTTTCAAGCAAAATATTAAGAAACACTGTAATGCAGTAAATTTTAATTGTGAATTTTAATTTTTTTTTAGTTTTGTAATTAAAGATGTGTGTTACAAATGTTAGAAATATCATATGAATATTAAAATTAAAATATTAGTTTATTGACATGGAATTGTTGTAAGATTCTGCTGTTCTTACTCTCAGTGTAATTCAGATAATCTTAGGCTGAGCTTCTTTCACATTTGAAAACATTTGTCATTTTTCTCAGCACTTTTCTCTTATATCACATTGAAGTGATAAACTTCAGTAATTCTTTGCTTTTTTATTAGCAAAAGTAAGAAATGCAAATAAATGATTCTGCATTTTAGACAGAGAAAAATTCTAGCCATACTTTACCAATGCTTAAAAACCCATTTAAAGGGATGTCACTTTTATCAGGATAAATATTGGACTTGAACATAAAAATAAACCGTGACTTTCTCAAAATAGTTTTAAAAAAAAATAAATTTTTAAAAAATAATTTTAATACGATAAAAATGTATTACCAGTTAGAAGTTTTTTTTTTTATTTTTAATTTTTTTATTTTACCAATCGCTGGGTACTTACATGTCATCTGAACACCTTAGTAGGAATCGCATCGAAAATTTTGAGAATGTACCAATCTCTGGTAAACATTTGCATAACCACTCTTCTGGCAACCTTTCTTCTAACAATTGTTCGGTCAAGCAGTATCAGCATTTTTTATGCATTCTTGTCGTATTCTCAAATTCCTGCGGTTTTTTAAACCAAACTTCAATAAAATTTCAAGAATACAGAATTTTGCCTCGAAATCTCTTAAGGTAAGAACGAATTTAAGAGATAACTGGTGTTGCTCAGGTTTGTGCAATGAGTCTCTGCATTTCTCTGATTTTTTTTAAGTGAAAACAGATTGCTGTGTACTTAAGGAAAAGAATATCCCCCTTCATCCAAAAAATTGCAATAAGATTTGGAACGTATTGTCTAATCATGAAATCCATAAAAATGTTTTTTTGCTATGTTTGAACTTTATCTTGGTTGACTTAATAATGCTTGTCAACCTAGATAAATATCGATAGTTTGGGAATATTTTTTTTTTAAATGTCGTGAAAATCAACTCGTAACCCATAAGTAATGTTTGCCTTTTCATCTGTAAAGAATCGCGACTTAGTGTCAAGGTGGTTGCGTTAATACATAAGGACCAATTTATATATTTCGATGTTTTTCCCCTCCCAAATTTGTTCAGGAAAATTTTTTGTATTCATTTGAAATTGATATAATTTCCTCTATTTCTTTTTTTTAATAAAGACTTTTTTTCGAATTCAGTTATCTTTCCATTTCAGATCTCCAACCACGAGTTGTGAGTTTGCAACCAAAATCTTCATGTGGGAAACAGAGTATGAAAGTTGTGAAACTTCATAAAGACCCTGAATATGGACTTGGTATGGTTATAACCTGCGGAAATACGTACGATACAATTTTGCATGGCGCTTTTGTAGAATCTGTATATCCAGGTAGTCAGCTGATTTCATGATGTTTTTAGGCTGATTTAGTATATTAAACCAGGTAATTTAATAGGATTTCATGTATGTTTTTAATATTTTTCGAAGTCATTTTATAATTTTCCTTTTGACATAATTTTTATTATGTGCATTCACTAAAAGTAGAAAAATTGTGAAATACTTTTAAAACTGTTAGAAAAAATATATTTATTTTATTATTCCTACATTTGTTATTGGTGTTGTACGACTTTTCCTTGCAATTGTTTATAAGTTCAGAATATGTGTCAATGGAGGTTTCTCCCCCCCCCCCCAAAAAAAATTATTGCTTATTCACCTTTTAATTATTCATGTTATTTATATAAAACCATTATAACTTTTAATTTTAAAAATAATTCAGAAAAATGAATGTGATGGATTTAATCAAATGAAATGATTATTCATTTAAAATCTTATATCCATATTTTATTAGAAATTATTGATTTTTTGGGGTAATCATAAATTGATACTAAGTGTTTGTTTCCAAAAATAAATATCTCCTTTATGAAGGTATCTTTTTGTACTCTAATCAAATTTATCATATTTATAATAATAAAATATTTAGAGAGTTAGTTACTTATTAACTATGAAATAAAATTTCACAGCTTGCTTTATTAACCCTTTGTACTTGAGACATGACTCTTGATTGCCACTCGGTTTGATGTGATAAATCGAGTGGTAAGGATGTTTATTTATGCTTCGCTTGGACGATATCGCTTCATGAGTGTATTAAAAAAAGTGTGCATAAAACAACTGTCAATCTTTAATCTTAAATAGGTTTTTTAGATTTATTCTGATATATGCATCTTTGATATGATGCATATATAAGAATATGATGAAGGAATCAGTTCAAGTGAAGATGAGCTCAGTTTTTTTGTTAATGAAGAATGAAATTGTGTGTACTTAGACTACTTGATGGTAGAGAGGAGGAAAGCAGTGATGAATATAGCAATGAAGTAAGAGGTGTAAGAAGGCAAAACATCAAGGTAATAGATAGTGAATGTGAAAGGGATATTGTGCTCAGAAACTGAGGAAATACCGCAAAGAATGCCGTTTGTATCTGGCAAAAGAGCCACAGGACCATGAACATAAAAGACAGCAGACATAAAAGCATCATTAGATTTCTGGAAATCATTTCAAGCTAGCTTAAAAAATTTACCAAATCAAATAGAAATTCATCTTGAGCTGTCATTCACTCAAGCAAAAAAAGAGACCACAAGTGCAAAGAGTTAAAACTGACAATTCACTGACAGATTAAAAATATTTGAATTAATCATTTAATAAAAAAATCTGATGTGTACACCACATGACTTCCTTGTACAGAATATTAAATTATACGCATTTTTTCTTGCATTTCATTTAAACTTATTGGATTGAATTAAATCTACTTCGCCGACACCGCATAAACCACAATAGAATAAATGCATTTGTTGCACGTGGTTGCAGCTGTGTGCAACAACAAACTATGCGTATTGGAATTTGCAATGCTTTTAAGAATGAATTTATAACATGCCATAAGAGCCAATTTTTTGATAACAAAAACATTTAATCACATCACAATATTAAAACTTAATTACTACAGTCGACAGACAATCACGTTGGAGGAAAGCGAGTGACCAACCGCACCGACGATGAGACGTGACTGTGTGTTGCCGAAATCACCTTCGGTTACAGTTAGTGATAACGGTGTGCGGTTGGCGAGTACAACACATGTTTACAGAGTCACACTGCTCCTCCTCCAGTGGCAATGAATTAAAGGTACCAAGGGTTAAATCGGACTCTACGTCCGGAACGTGTATACTCAGGAGCACTTGTTTTCTGGGATCCAGGCACAGGAACTGACATAGTAGCAGATGTTGGTGTAGACCCAATAGATGAAGGTGCCTTCGAAGGAGGTGGGACTGATATACCAGTCTCGACAGTTTGTGGTGCTAAGATAAAGGCTGGTTTGAGACGATCAAGGCTCACCACTGTCTCTTTGTCGCCGATTAGTATCCGATAGTTCTTGGATGTGCGACTTAGAACTAGGTGTGGGCCTGTATAGGTAGGCTCCAAGGACTTTTTTGATGCATCACACCGTAAGAAACACATGTGAGGATGTAGCGAGTTCTTTAGGAACAAACACAGGTCTTGAAGAATGTATGCTTGTGGGCTTAAGGGTATAATGCAGCCATGGTTTCACGTAATTGTTTGAGGAATGCATGTGGGGCTGGACATTGGGTGAGTTTTTTCGCGGGATTTATAAAATCTCCCCGGTAAACGTAAATTGGTACCATAAACCATTTCAGCACTTGCACTTGAAGAACCCAGGTCCTCTTTGATAGTAGCCGTTCTGAGTCCTAACAACACAGTAGGAAGGACATCAACCCAGTGAATAGCAGTATGGCATCTAATGGCCTGTTTAAGAGAGCGATGGAACCTCTCAACAAGTCCATTGGAATTCGGGTGGTATGGTGATGTATGGATCTTTTTAGTTCCCAAGAATTTTGTTAATGCAGTAAATAATTGAGATTCGAACTGCCGTCCTTGGTCCGTGGTAACGTACTCGGGTACTCCCAAACCGTGAAATGAATCCATACAGAAAAAAAGGTTTTTGCCACAATGTCTGCTGACATATCTACAATAGGGATAGCCTCTGGCCAACGTGTGTATCTGTTGACACACGTAAGAAGATATGTATAACCTAGTGATGGGGGTAAGGATCTAACCAAATCGATATGTACGTGGCTAAAGCGAGCAGATGGTAACTCAAAGCGTTGACATGGAGTTCGAGTGTGCCTGTGAATTTTTTATTTTTGACAGTCTGTACATGACCTCGCCCATGCAGCGATGTCCTTTTGCATACCAGGCCATAAAAAACGCTATTGAATTAACGTGCGAGAAGCACGGATGCCAGGATGGGATAAATTATGGAGGCCGCTAAAAATACCATGCTGGAATTTCAGTGGAATGTATGGCCGCACCACATTACCTTGCACATCGCAGTACAGTGAAAGATCTGGTTCTAACTGCATAGGTACTAAATTAAGTCCATGAGAAGACTTGTCAGACAAAAGATGTTGCAATTCTGGGTCTTGTTTCTGGCATTTAGCAATGGCGGAGAAATCTGTTGTTGATGGCAACTGAACCACTTCATTTCTGGACAGAGCATCAGCAACTGTATTTTGAGGGCCTTCTAGATGCCTAAAATTGGTTGTAAACTGCGCTATGTAATCAAGATGACGCATTTGCCTGGGAGAAGCCTTGTCAGGCTTTTGTCGAAAAGCGAAAATTAGCGGCTTGTGGTCGGTATAGATAGAAAACACACGATTTTCTACCATATGACGAAAATGTTTAACAGCCTCATACGCACTAAGAAGTTCGCGGTCGTACGTGCTGTATTTTGATTGCGCTGCAGAAAATTTTTTCGAGAAGAAAGCCAGAGGCTTCCATGCTCCGTCTACCAGTTGCTGCAAAACCGCACCCATGGCCGTATTAGACGCGTCAACCATTAATGCTAAAGGGTGCTTAGAAGGATAGCTAAGAGCTGTTGCCGACACTAAGTCATTCTTACATTGTACAAAGGCTGTACGGGCATCATCAGACCAAATAATTGGCCGCGTATCTTTCTTTATACTCCCAACCAAATATGTGTGCAAAGGTGCCTGCTTTTCAGCGGCATGAGGGAGAAAGCGACGATAAAAAATTAACATGGCCAGAAAAACGACGCAGCTCCTGAACAGTTTTTGTTTTGGCTCTGGGAAATTTTGAATTGCAGTGGACTCTGTCACTAAGTGGGCGAAAAGAAACTTCGTGACCAAGAAATGACACGTTTAGATTTCCCGAAAAAACACATTTTGATGGATTAATGACTACACCATAAGACTGACTGAAATCGGCCAAGGAACTATGCAAAGGTGTTCAAGGTGCTGGTTTTCAGTTGTCGAGGCTACCAGAATGTCATCGAAATATGGGACACAAAAATCTAAATCTCGAAGGACTTCATTAATGAAGCGCTGAAAACATTTGTGTAGCGTTACATAACCCGAAAGTCATGACAGGAAATTCGAATAATCCAAAAGGTGTTATTATACAGCAGTTTTTGGTATATCAGGTGGATTGACAGGGATCTGGATGGTAAGCACGAGTCAAATCTAACGTAGAAAAAAATATATTTTTTTTTTCCAAGACTTGCATGCAGTCAGGAACCGGATATATCATCAACAAGTAAACTGAATTAAGACCGAAAAATCCCACAAGGACGCCAGTCGCCGTTTTTTTCTTAGGGACCATGTGGAGTGGACTGGCCCATGAACTTTTTAGATGGCCGACAGATTCCTTGCTCAAGCATGTATTTATTTAAATTCTTCTTTTGCAGCCTTTAATTTCTTTAATTTCTCTGGAGGCAACCGCCGTGCTTTGGCAAAGATTGGTGGTCCAGTAGTCTCTATGACATGTACAATACCGTGGTCAGCAGTCGGTTTGCCAGTTACTGAGCGGATGACATTAGGGTATTGCTCAAGTAGTTTTGTGGAAAGGAGAATTACCGGAATTATTAATTTAATTCCAAAATTAGTGGCATTTCCAATGCTACCTACCGCGGACAATTGTGTGATGGAGTCGAGTAAGCGTCGATTTTTAATGTCGACCAACAGAGAAAATTTTGCAGAAAGTCTGCACCAATTATTGGGTGCGAAACCGCAGCGATGACAAATGGCCATTGAAAATTTGCGACGCAATCCTAGATCCAAAGACATTAATATTTTTCCATATGTTGCAATTTTTGACCCGTTAGCTGCAAATAAGTTAAATTTTCCAGGCGGCCGTTTGGATTCGGCAAAAGAGGGAGGTACAACCGAAAATGTCAGCACCTGTATCAACAAGAAAACGTCTGCCTTATGGTTTATGGTTTATCTGTTTACGAACAATCGACTAATGCACGGGCCGTTGTCAACTCATGGCTTCGAGTGACGGCCCCTTCAGTTTAAAGAGGTCTTCTGAAATTTGCATGGAGGTGTACACTTGCGCGCTTTATCACCGAATCGGCTGTGATAGAAACAAATGTCTGATTGAGTACCAGAATGAGCGTGTCGGTATTCCCTATTATTTTGGTTCTGGGACTTTGATCTACCGTGCGGATGATACTGAGATCGTGTCTGTAAGGCTGTGACCTGCAATGATAATTCCTGGATTTGTTGTTGAAGAGATGAAATATCAACACTGGGATGCTGAACTTGACAAATTGCTTGTGGTTGGAGAACATCATGAATTTTGTCTGCCATTTGGGCCAGTTAGGGTAGGTTCTCGTTACTGGAGGCAAGAATAGCTTGGATATTGTTCGGGAGATGATTGAGCCACAATGATTGTAAAACATTGGACTTAAAATTGTCACCCGCAAGCTCCTGCATTTTTGACAATAACTGGAATGGGCGCATATCACCAAGTTGCAAATCTTGTAATAACTGCTTTAGTTTGGTGTTTTCAGACTCCTCATAAACTGAAATTAATTAATTTTTTAATTCCTCATATCTATTATCCGTGGGGGGTTTCAGAACAATCTCGCGTACTGACTGAAGAACCTCAGTGTCAAGGGCGGAAATTGCAGTATAAAATTTTGTGTCGTCGCGTATTATACCCCTGAGCTTGAATTGTGCATCTAATTGAAAAAAACCAAAGGCTGGGGTCACTACGGCATAATGGGGCAGGTTTCTCAGCAACGCGAGCCATTTGTTTGTCATCAGTGGCTAGAGGATAGCTAGTAGCCATAATAAATATGAATGAATACAGATAACAAGCAAAAAAAAAAAAAAAAAAAAGACAATATAGTTCAGGAATATTGTTGCAGTACATGTGAAGAAACACACAATAATTAATGTTAGGACCTGGGTTCAAATAAATATAGGAAAAAACTCGCCTGCTTGACGAATACATACGCTTGACGAATGCAGTTTTATTATAATTTTTTTGGAAGAAAAGAGTCTTTTATTCTGTCCTTACGTACAGATATCACGCAAAAACATCGTTAAATTGCATTCGATAGCGGTCAAAGCGGATATTTTCGTTGAAATATGCTGCCTGAAACTTTTTGTGATTACAATACTTCCTTTTTACTTCGTACAAGGAAGTAATTAGAGTTTTTATTATATTGCATAAAAAACATTAAAAAAATGGGCATTTATAGTGAGCAACATAACAGCTTCAAGAAAATTAAATTTCATATACTAATCTCCCTTTTACACAGCGATTAACATTTTGTTAATGTATGAATAAGTGGATAATTCTTTGAATTAAAATTAAATTAATAATTGGAATTCTTCCAAGTGTTAAATGTACACTTATTTAATGAATTTTTATTATTTTAAGGAACTTTATTTTTAACATGGTTGTCTCGCTGTTAGATGATCGTAGTACACATTGTCATAATCAACGTAAAATGGCTTAGTAGAAAGATAGAGATATAGCCTTATTGGAATTACATTAAGACTGTTGCAGATTTCCTTAAACTTGCAACTGAGAATATATTAAAAGCTAGCATTGTAAATGTTCACTCAAAGTCTTCTTTCCTTTTTAGCCCGAAAGGGCTATCAATCTCGTATACAATTTTGTGTTGTTTCGCTTTCCATTCAATTCTGTTGCCATTCTGAAAAACATAAGATATTATTCTCTTATATTAAATCTCTCTGTTGTTAATCAACAAGCTAAACTGTGTTAAAGCTATAGATGCAGTTCTTAATTTTTTTAAGTTTTTAATCTGATTGATTTAAATAAAAAGGCATTTAATTTATGCTATATCTGATTAAAAACATTAAATATTTTAATAGAATTACATATCTACATTTTTTTAATGTACAGAAGGTATATGATGTTCCCATATTAGTCTAAATTGCATATTCATCAAATATCTTATCAAATGTTTTGTGATTCCTCTTGGACAATGTCTGTCAATCTCTGACTAATCAACCATATTAAACTTTAAGAGAGCCCTTTTGGGCAGTCGTTAAAATTTCACCCTTTCAGATTTTGTTGTTGTTGTAGTTTTATTTTTATTTTATTATTATTTTCATTTTGGAATTGGTTGTCACTAATTAATTTATTAGTTTGAGTAAGCAAATGCGAAATTCAAAAATTTACATGAGGATTATGTTTATCTGTTGTCTCTCTTCTGAAAGCACATCAGAAAAACTAATCATAATATGAGGAATTTAATCAGGGCTTCATTAACATCAAGAAATGTCCATTTTCAGAATTATTTATTCTGAATTCCAAAACAAGCTGGAATCCAGTGAAAATATAAAGATGTTTCCGAATACTGCTGGATAAATTTTGTTTTGAAAATTTTACACAAAACTTTGTTAGTTAGGATGAAATTTATTTATTCTTGTTAATTAAAAAGTAATATAATGCAGCAGTAAAATTGATTAAAATTTGAAAATCAAGGGAGAAAAAAAAAAGTATAAATGCTGTCAGGTCTAATTTCATTACATATGTTTTAATTGATATAATAATTAACATACTTTTTTTCTTGCATTGCTATAGAAGTATAGCATTTACTAGTATACACAATATTTATCAATAATTTATATTTCAGGAGATCAAATAATGTCTGTCAATGGTGTGGATGTGCAAAATGACCACTTCTTAACTGTTGTTGATTTAATTCAGTATTCTAATGGTCCTGTTGATCTTCTCATTGGAAAAAACAATGATTTTTCTCCTGACATATCTGTCTTCTCAAACAAAGAAATTACCGAGGTCTGTTTTATTTACCAATATTTACTGCCTTTTCCAAAGAATTTATTTAATTTTGTTTAACTTTCCAAATGTTTGATAATTTTCAAAATTTCTCAGAATCCCAAAGTTGTTGAAATATATACAGTGTAGACACATATTTCTTCAGTTATAATTTTATAATACCTCTATCACATTGTATCTGGATTGTTTTTCTTGCCCATTTAAAAAATGTATTTATGTAGACGTCTTTAAAGTTATAAGGATGAGTATTGTTTCATGTATGTATGTAGTGACAGAAACTGACATACATTTTAATATTTTGGTTTATAGCAGCATTTATAATTGTTTGCCTTAATATTATAGCAGCCAGAGTTTCAAAGAATTTTTTTTAATGATAGTAGTATTAATAGCAAAAGGAGTAATACTCACAAATGACACTTGATATTAGTTTATGTTTAGACTATTTTAAAAGTAATATTTTCACATATTTAAATAGTTAGTTTAAATATATATTTTTATCATATTTAAAATTTTGTAAAAATAGATGTATCGACATTGGTAGGGTCCATTTAAGCCAGTCTCCAACATTTTCAGTGCTCTAGGCCAATGGTTCTCAACCTTTTGACTAACGCATACCATCTAAACAAAAATTGGAAACCTTTAGTACCACCAAAGTATTACTACCACCACCACTCTTGAGCAAAGCTCAGGTCCCATAAATATACGAGTGTTAGAGAAAAAACTCAATCAGGTTGTTGGAGTTTTAATTTTTGAATTTAATAGTCAAAAATACTTTTGCTTCTTTGCATTACCACCTATTTTTCTCTTGTGTACGGCCGGTTGAGAACCCCTGCTCTAGGCAATTAGTATAGTTAGCACCTGTATAAATTAAACAAATTAATAATTCAAAAGGAGATATGCCTTAGTTGTGGCTTGCCAGAGCAGCCAAGCTAGTGCCCTCTGAAAATAGACACTCTAGATAATTGCCTTCTTCTTGAAGTTGAATTTGTCAGGTACCTCTGCTAAATATCATTTTGTGCCAACCTCACCAAACCCAGTGCTTCCTAGCTCCATTTGTTTGGGTCACCCACTTTGTTTATAAAGTCTAACAGCCTCTTACTAGAGCTCAGGTGTACCTCTTCAGTATTGAGTAATACCTAAGGTAGTCAACAATATTAGAAGTTCAAGGTCAGTAGCCTGTTCCGCTGCTAAATGTTTTTCAGGGTGTTCCTCAATGAGTACAGCCATCTTGACCAGTGTAAGAGCTCCCTGAAGATACAACTTTCAGGGCTTTCTCTTTTGGCAGTCTTTGGGCTGTATCTTTCTTCATCCTTTGAGATTGCCTTTTTTCCCCTTTCCCCTTGGGTTTTTCAATCCAAGTACTTTGGTAATTTTCAATTCTAGGGCACGGTGTTTCCCCCCCCCTCCGGATATTGCTCCTTTGATTGATTTCCTGTGGATTTCCTTCTTTTAAGAAGAAAGGTCTACCTCTGAGGTTTTACCTGCAAAAGCAGAATTTCTAGTAATGTTGTAATTTTCAGCCATATATTAATTAGAAAAGAAAGTACAGGATGAAAATGGTCCACTCAGTATAGCCTGTTGCTAGGTAAGGCAAAATACTCTAGGAGTTGCCAGGTATTCTAAAGGCTTTGTTAAGACACTATAACTGCAGTGGCATTCATCCTAGGCTCTGGTCGCATAACACCAGGGTTACAGGAGGGGTTTGTGGCTTCTTATTTATTATTCAAAGCTATCCTGTCAGATAATGCAGGACATCTGGCTATCCACCACCTGCTGACATGCCTGCTAGCCAGTCAAGCCCCAGGAGGTGATTGGCTTTGTCCCATCTCTAATCAGTCTTCTTTAAATAGCATTATATTCCCCCCCCCTGAAAAGAAAAGGACCCCATTCCTGTTCTTATGTAATACTTAATTTTACCTATCATTACCTTTTACCTAATTCATAAGTCAAACAACAAAAATCAGCGTTATATTTACAAAATTTTGTAATTTTGTAAATATAACACTGATTTTAGAGCCATTTATTATCTGCATCAATAATCGTATTAAAGGACACGTAATCCCAATAAACTAGCTTATTGTAAATTATACCAGTCACCAAGAATTTCATCGATATTTTGTTTGAGGAAATAATGCCTTGTTTCTTTAAAAGGATGACAATGGTAGGAAAGTTTAAAAGTGATTTCTTTGGGAATTCATTAACATAATGCTTACTTGTAGATATATCGGGAAAGTTGGAACCATGTATAAATAATGCTTTAACACAACTTATATGCTGGGATTAAAAATAGTACAATTTACCCATTCCATTTCCACCAACCCTACTAAACCGCTATTTCCAATAATAAACATCCTCACAAATAACGACAAATCTTTGACAATAGTCATATGGTCCATCTGAATTATTTTATCAGTCTTGCACCTCATCATCAATCCCAGTTTTACTTTCATTTTATATTTATCTTTTATTAATATAATACCCAATTATTCTAATAATCTAACTTGTATGGCTTATAACGAGCATTTTAAGTAGCAGTGGTTAGAATATTTAGTAAGTTTTTAATTAATTTAAAGTATGTAGTTTATGCTATGTTCTTTCCTGTGTGCATACTAAATTAGATAACATTTAAGCTGCTAATAGCCTATTTATTGGCATTATATTTCATCAACATTTAATGACTAGAAGCATTTTAATTGATTTTTTATCATATTACCTTTTTATTAGTTGAATCGTGTCTGTCTATTATTATCAAATGTGTTTCACCTTGCAATAAAAATAAACCTAAATTTTACACTTAAAAGGCATGATAAATGTGTATATTTTATCATATGGAACTCAAATTCCTATTCAATAAATAATATTGAACCGCTATTGCATGTATTTAAATTGAGGTAGAATGGTAATTGTAATAAATGTGGCTTAGTTTGATTTTCACATATTCATACCTACTCTTAATTTCTATCAAAGTTTAATTTTTTTAAATCAGAACTTGAATTGTATTTTTGTTTGCATATATATATATATATATATATTTTACTTGTTTATTATATTCCTTATTCCTCATTCTTTGCTACAGAAATCATTTGTGAAGTCCAAAGCATGGATAGTGGGAAGTGAAAATACTACTGAATGCATGTCTCCTGATAGCAAGAGTGAAAGTAAGTCTGGTTCTTACATATTTATTTATTTTTTCAAAAATGTTCTCTTTGTTTGTATGTATGTGGGTGAATATATTTGTATGGAAGTATTCATTATCTAATTTTTCATGGTAACTGAGTTCTATAAAATAGTTCCACAGTATTTTTTATTACAAAGAGACAAAGATGAATCTTTCTTGTTATGCAACAAAACACACCAAGCAATATTTTCTAGAACAGTTAGCTGCACCACACTTGAGACTTCTTGTCATATAATATGTTTTCACTGTTAGCTCATTTTAACAGTATTTTTTTCTCCTAAAAATATATTTCTTGTATTATATTTTCAGTAAACGAAATATTTTAAAACTCTTTATTGCCAGTTTTTATTGAAAACCAACATCATCATTATAAGAAGTAAGACCAACACTATGTATGAAATTTATCTAGCTAATAAATAGATAGAATGGTAGTAAGTTGACGTGTAATGGGAATGTTCTGGATTACAACAATAAGAACAGTTTAGCTCACACAATGTTGTAACAAACTCTAGATAGTTTTTCATAATTCTAAATGGTATCCAAGTTCATCCAAGGTACTGCATTTGCACAAAACACCTGAGTGACTAAGTTATGACTTTGAGAGAGAGGAGTTTAATCTCCACCAGCAAACTAGAAAGGTGAATATTTTGTCTGCTAAGGACAGATGTGATGAATGCCATCATTTCTCATTCTTGTCATTTCTGAACATGTCACTGGCTCGAGATTTCATCAATATATTTCTATGCATGTGATTTAAAATTTATGCATTTATCATCTTGCATTGTGCGAGTGATTTGAATAAAGAAAAATGCATCGCCTCTGACTCTTCCTTGTGTCGGGAATCCAAAATACATTACACAGGGCTGTCCAACTGATAGTTCATGGGTTCATGGTAGCCCACAATCACATATCAGCCTGAGGAAAAAACTTTACTCTAATCGTAATGTAAAAAACAACCATACAAAAGGTGCCATTACACATCATATACATTTAGGGTCATGTCAGAGGCATTGCATTAGTGTTCACTTACTAGTATGTAATTACCTTCATTTCATCCCATTTATCTGGTTTTATCTGGACGGCCGATTAGGATTAGAGTGCATGTTTAACACAAGACCTGTTTGCTGCTGTTGCTGCTGCGTATTGGCACAAATGATGAATCGTCCATCCAGCTGTGCAGTTGACAGTCGTCATTCATAATTTCAGTTGAAATAAGTTGATAAAAGTTCCTAGTACACAGAATGATCTAAAATCTGGATCTCAAAACCACCAAAAAAGTTTTTCTCATAGACTTTACTCATCTGCATTTGATTCCCCCCTCCATGCATAATAAAACATCTGGATAGTCCCGATCCTTAATTTCACTTCAACACTAAATAAAATACCTTGTTATTGAAGAAACTATCATTTTAGCATAAATTTGTACAATCAGTAATTTGGCTCCGTTGCTGTGTATCTGCTTGGCACATATCTCAGACCGAAACATTTCACATAGATACATCATTGATCTGACGCCAACCTGGTGAATCATTATTTATTATATTTTCATTTCATCATCGCATGTTTATCAAAACATGACAACTTGAGTAATGACTCATGCAGCAATGCCTAAAAAATTTTTTTATGTTAGTAATTTAATAATAAAGGAGTATGATAAACTTTTATGTTGACATTACGCTTGGCGATGAATACAAATTTAAGTTAAATGCGCTAAAAATATTGACGGAAAAATTTACCAAACATTTCTTTCCATATGCTAAAAATAGATTTTGTTGATATACTCAGAGACCCAAAGATTATATTTAGGACTATTTGAATTAAGAATAACCGATTTGTTATTCACATAAACCCAGAACCAGTACCAGGGCTCGTATGGCCGCAGCAAGTCGCAGAATTTAAGACTCGTAGAGACTGCATCAGGCGGTAAGATATCTAGTGCCGGCCCTCAATAAGGCTTAATTATATGTGGAAATTTATGTATTCAGAACTCTGATAAGCCTTAAGCATGTGCAAGAAATGAGCAAAAGTATAATAAATAACTAAACTAATACAGTTCAGGCTTAATTGTCTCGGTGTGCGATAAAAGCAAGATAAAATTTAACAGAACATCTTGTCATTAGTTGCCAAGCTCATGATGCATAGCCAAATATGTATAGGGAAGGATAGCTAAATTTGATGATGATAGCCGCTAATTGTAAAAGATTTCAGATATCACTAAACTAAGGTGAAATTTTCCAGTTAACGGATTTTGTAAAGAAATGTGGAGAAGCGGTAATAAATGAAGATGATATTGGCGTTTTTATATTATGAATGTCGAAATCTGCAATATGGTTCTAAATCCAGAAAATACCACTGCTGATGGTGAAGAAAGTGACGGAGAAGTTACTGAAAATGAGAAAATTTCGACTGACAAGTTAATCGGAATTCTTGAAACAGCTGTTACAGAACTTCAACAATGTAACTAATCAAAAGATTATGTCTGTCTACAGAATTAAAGAGAAAGTATTATTAGCACAAAAAACGAAGCAACTTAAAACAAATTGCATGGAAAGAAATGTTTAATAAGGTAAACAAATAAATATTAAGCCTTTTTTTTTTGGGTGTGTGTGTGTGTAAATTTTGATACCCTTTAAATCATAAATACTTCATTATTTCATAAATCACGATTTCAGATTTTTAATTTTATATGTTCTACGTGCCATCTTACTAGATTTAAACTGGTGATCTATTATCTGGAAAAATCCCGAATTCAGAATCGCCGAAGTCCCGACTAGTCCAGATTTCAGACTTTGTACTGTAGTGGCTACCAAATTATGCTGTTTGTGGCGAGTTTTAAAATAATGCTTCAATTATTTTATATATTTTTGGTGTGCTTGTTGAGTCGTGTCAGGGCCGTTGAGGAGAGGAAAAACCTACCACTTCAGCAATAAAGGAAGGAAGAGTTCTTATTTACGAATTTTCAAAAAAAAAAACCAATTTGTTTATTATGCTATGCTTCAGTAGTGGTACCGAAGAGAACCATAAAACATTTATTATTATTTCAACTGTAAATATTCACTTAGGTCTGCTCTACATAGATATGAAGTTCAATCATTGAAATCTTGGAAAGCTCAACAAAACATTATTTTTACAATCAAAAAGTGAAGCTAAGAATAACACAAAAGCATCCTTCAAAGTAACTTACAATCTCGCATCTTATAAAAAGCCAGATTCAGATGAGGCCATTTGTGAAGGAAGCTATGCTGGCAATGTCAGAGTCTTTTATTTCACAAATTAAAAATAAATAAATAAATAAATAAATCGCAACTGTAAAAGATGAGCCTCCATTACAAAACACAGTGGCACAAAAAGTGGGCAATATGACTAACGACTTCTTCTTACAAATGAGATCTGATATGGAAAAATATGCATATTTTGCCCTGTAGTTTCAGAAATCCAGTGCTGTTACTGACTCATCGCAGCTTTTGATGTCAATGAAAATTATATTTCCTGACATTTTTGTGAAAGAAGCATTGCCAAACAAGTTGACTTTAGCAAAAATCACTAAGGCCAAGACATGTATGATGCAGTTAAAAACTAAATTATTAAAGTATCCATAAAAAAAAAGCTCTTCACAGTCATAACTAATGGTGCATCAGCTATGAACAGGAATAATACTGGGTTTATTGGGCTCTATGGAGTAGGACACTTTTGCCAAATTTAATTCAAACCACTGTGCTGTTCATCAAGAAAATCTGGTTGCTATAAAGCTCAACCTCAATCATGTAATGATTGTTATTGTATGCATTGTAAATTTTATCTGAGGATGGCCTTTGAATCATCGACTTTTTAAAGCTTTTCTTGATAAGCTTTATAGTGAGTATAGGATATAATTGACCAAAGTGGCAGAGACGAGGAAATTTACCTAGGTGGTCGAGTTGAAGAGTTTTAACAAGATTTGGTGAAATATTGTTGAAGATTAAAACTTTTTCCGTATCCAAAAACAGATATGACCAAAAATTGGATGGCATGGAGCAGCTTGCTAACATGTCATTTTTAATAGATATTATGCAAAACTCAGTGACCTAAATACCACATTACAAGGAAAAAGAAAACACAAATTGGAAATGAAGAGCTCTGTATCTGCTTTTTTGGCTAAAACTGATTTGTGGAAGAATAACTTAAGTTAATAACTTTAACTTAACTATGTCAACATTTTCCATCGTTTTACCTTCATGTTAGATGTGGACATTATTCTGGAATATGATCAGTCTAAGCAAGTTGAAAATCTTCTATTATTTAGCTCAGAATTTAAAAGCGCATTCAAAATAGGTTTCCTATGGAGCCCATTTCATTTCTCACAAAAAATCTTTCTTGAAATTAGACATAACAGAAGTGACCTTTGTCAGTGGGGAGGGGGATTATTAACAAATTGGGGGAAGGCTGAATTAGATTATCACTCTTTATACTGATATAACACTCAAAGCACAAAATATAAAAGTGGTGAAGTTTTTAAAATAATGGACACTATTAAATGTAAAAATTTTTGGGTACATACCTCTGTCAGCAGACTTCTTCATAACTTTAAGTAATAAAAAGCAAACATGGAAACATATTAACTCTAGATCTTGTGAAAAACAACATGAAGTTGGCATGCTATCAGAATATATACCAAATTTTAATAGGTGTCTGAGAATATTAATAATTAATTGTTTAAGCAATGACTTAATGCAGTGCTGATATGATGAAATATTTGATAATTTAACAGTTACATTTTCTTGTGTAAATAATTAGTTCATTAGTCTGTACTTTATTTTTTAATTTGAAATAAAATTAGTTCAAACTTACATTTGCATTTTGTTAGTGGATTTTCTTCAGTTTTTTTTTTGTAGTTGCATATTAATTTTCCTCATTATTTGGATATACAAAATGGTCCAGTAAAATCACATATTTTTATGACATTGTTATTTTCCAAATATAAAACACTGGTTGCCCATAAGGCACAACAGAAATTTAAAAGTAACCCTTATGGTAAAACCAGTTAGACAGCACTGTGTTACACTGTGCAGTGAAGGCAACCTAATTGAAACATTGTCTCTGGTTTAAATATTAATTTAAATGCATATAGCTCATATAACTGAATATTTTCGATGATTTAAATGTTTATAACTTCTTTTATTTTTCACGGAAACCCTTAATTTCATTTTATAAAAATCCAGTGCTCCATTTCTTCAGTATTAACTTATTATTTTTTATTTTATTATTCATTGGTTGGTAAAAGGCAATTATGTTAGGTTTGCTGCATGTATTCATAATGAATGTTATTTTTTGTAATATTTTCATGCCTAAATGGTTAACTTCAGACAATAATAATTTTTTTCAGCTGTTTTATTAAGTACATTATTTGAATTATATTGCTTTTGATATTTTACAGAGAACAAGACTTACATCGATACTCCTATTCCAATACCCCGAAAAAAATGGGTAGAAAGAAAAGAAAATTCTATTAGACCAATGAATTTTGATGCTCCAGATCTGACAATCAACCATTCCACAAACTTCAGCAATAATGAATCACAAAATCAAGACAGTGATAGCATTGATTTAAATGGACATTTTAACTCTAAAAACTGTAACATTCCAGATATTATTGCTTCACAAATTAAACATGGTTTTGAAACCTCTCCATTCAGCAGAGATGAATGCCTTGATAGTGAAGAAAGTTGTCCAACTGTAGCCACTCTAGATGCAAATGATTTTCTTCCAGGTGAAGTTTACCATGTAGTACTTGACAAGAAAGGGGGAAGCTCTTTGGGCTTGTATATTTATGTAAGTACATTTGTATATATTTTTCAGCTGCTGCTACATAAATAAAATAAAAATTATTTCCATTTAAATTGCATTTTTTATTTCCTTGTACAAAGGGAAGGAAGTATTGTAATTTCAAAAATTTTCGGATATCATACTTCAATGGAAATATCTATTTTGACTGTTCATGAATCCATTTGGACAACTTTTTTTTTTTTTTTTTTTTCCTTGACATCTGCACTTACAGACATAATAAAGTACTTTTTTTCACCCTAAACGCATTGTAAAGTGGATTTAAAATGTATTATGTATTTTTGAAAGGTATATTCTTTCATGGTGTTTGTACATACGTACGTATATATGTACCTCATAGAACTGAAAAACAATTATCCATACAGCATTGAAATTTTTTCTCTGAGACTGCTATAACATCTAGTTAGGTAGCTCGTAGTTATATAATTCCAATTGCAGTGTTTTAAATGATGAAAATGTTCATGCTTTGGAATTGTTAAAAAGATAATAGCAATAATTGTCAAAATGCCTTTGACAAAATAATGAAAATTAACTACATACAGACTAGCAATTTATTTATGTTAGTTAGTCAAACAAAATTTCATATTCCTTTATTTTTGTAAATATCTAACAATATTTAATATCAGTTTATTGCTGTTCTGAAAAGAATGTTTAATAGCACATACAAGTTAGTCATGTGGTGTCCACATCAAATTTTGTTATCATTTTCTTATTCAAGTGGTCAGAACTTGGCAAACTGAGGTTTGACTGTAATTATGCTTATTTTGTTATAGTATCATTATTTATGTGTTACGTTATTTTGTTTCACATTTCTATTCAGAATTTACTAAGATAAATTTCTCATATCTGATTTGTGCATTTTATTTTGCAGCAAGACTTGGAATCAACTTGCTCAGAACAAGGAGATATATATATTCATTCTATAATTCCAAATAGTCCAGCTGAGTTAGATGGCAGAATACAACCAGGTAATTTTGTGTGTGTGTGTGAAATTGTTGTACAACATATTTATTATAAGCTTATGGTAGTATTTAAGGATGAGTAATTTTTTATTCAGACGTGTTGATTAATTTATTCTTGTAACGTTCAGTGTTATTTATACAATTTGTAGCAGCAGTTTTACTACAGTGGTAATCTCTCTTAACAACAATGCTGTAAATTAAGTAATTTATTATAAGTGCTAATAATCAAATAGCCTTTTAGTGTATTAATTTAGAGCATAAAAAAATCATTATAACTTTACTGCCTTTAATATTGATTCTAAAAACATACTTCTGCCCATAAAAATTGTAAGTAAATTTGAGAATTTCATGAGAATATTTTTGGCAGTGAGATATAGCAGGGTTCTGTAAATACAAAATCCGTCATTATGGTCTGTGTAGGTTAAAAAGCTGAATTAATAAAATGTTTATTGTGTGTAAGTTAAATAACAAATATTTCACACCTTTTTGTGTAAAACTCACTAATTTATTTGTAATTTTTATAAGAATTTCCTCCATCATACTGTTGTTTTCATATTGGACTAGTATCTTGAAGCCCCTGGAGGGGGAATGGGAAGTTGTGGCTGTTTTGCCGTCATATTTTTCTTTACATGACTGTATTATATCTTGCCGTATTATATTAAGTTGATTTAGTTTAATAATTTAATTTAATAAACATTTTATATAAAAATAATGTATAAGATGTTTTTGTGTAAAATTTTATACAAATATATCGTTACATATGACATATTAATCTTAAGGGAATAATGTGCTAACAAGATTCCAAAGTAATACAGTTTCCCATTCAGACTTCATAAAAATGTTAATTTCCTGCTTGTATGAGTGATTTCTCTGAACCAGCTGATTAAAATTTCAAGAAATTTTGACAAATCATGTAAATATTGTACCCGTGTAATTTTAAAATCGATAATATAACTTCTGTTATATCAGAGGTTTAGCCCCAGTTGTTCTGTTTGATACTGACATAATTTTCCAACTGACTATGTCTAATTTCTTTATATCGTATACTTGTAAACAATTATCTATATTACAAGCAACGTTTATTAAGTATAGAAAACGTTAACATAATTATTAAACTAAATAAATTTAATATGAGTATAATATGGCAAGATATAATACAGTCATGTAAATAAAATATGTATTGATTGCAAAATGTTCCAATGGTGAAAAGTCCTAGACCTCCTGGAGGAGGAGTCAGCAGCATGATGCCCAAGAGTACCAAAATGCCCCTGAAGCAATTTTAAGGCAAATTCTACATATTTGAACAACAAACACTCATAATTGTAATGAATAATTATAGTAAAATTCTTATTTGTATCTTAATCATTTTAACAGTTATACAAACTGTACAACAAACTAAGAATTACACAATCATTTTAACAGTCATACAAACCGTAAAACTAAACTTTTAATAAAAACTTAATCTTAGAGACATCTGGATAATGCTACATAACTAGATGGATCAATTTTTGACTGCTAGAAATATTTGATTTTACATACATTGGATTATTTTCCATCTCCATTATCCTTATTTATTATGTCTGATAAGGACATGTTACACTTTACATTCATAACTTTTTGTTCATACATAAACATGCCATTTCCTGAATATGTATATCAAGTTGTAAGCAGCTTACATATTCTTCTCTTGACATTAAAAGATAGCAAAAAGATGCAGACGACATTACTTTTGCAATAGTTAATAGTAACAAAATCATTTCATTTCAGCTGATTGCTATTTAACAACTTATTTTATTGCACAACTAAACAATATGAAGTTTTCTTGCTTGGCTAACAACATGCTGTAGCAACATTCTTTCATAAATGTTTTTGCAATTTTTGAGACCATATATCTGAAATATGCCCTATAGTAAAAAAAGTTACTGACTCCTGCCCTAGAGTATATTCAAAATTTCAAGAAATCATTCTCTCACTTCTCATGTCTCTACAATGGTACTTAAAAATGCTGAACAATTGTTGCCAAGGTAGATTGATCCAAGCAATGTTGTGGTTTTATATTTTTGTAAATTTGCTTGAACATGCGAGTAATATAAAGATTGTTTTGGTTTGGTTTATTTAATTACGGCAAAGTACTCGAGGGCTATCCGTCTAAGGGGAGGGATGCTTTCGTGGAGAACATTCTGAGGACTCTGACTCGTATACACATTACACTTGTAGAAAAACACGGAACAGCCTGTTTCCCGTGATATGAACTCTGGCCCGAAATACCAGGGTTCGGCGATTTTACCACTCTGTCGCTGTTAGAGGAGTGATATAAAGAATGGTGGAGGTAAATTTTGTGTAGACAGCATACAGAGAAAAGGCTTGCTGCTCGACAAACAGGAATTCATTATTGTTTTTTCCCAGAATGAACATTATTCCGGAAAAACTTCAGAGAGCAAAACTTCTCTTCTGATGAAACAAAAAACTGCATGCAAACTGATACTTAATATTTTCTAAAGAAGATATTTTTGGATGTAATTCAGCCTACACTGGAAAAGTAACAAATGGGGACCATCCTGCCTAGTCACCGGTAAACAAGTTAGGTTTCAAAGGCATAACATCCAATGTACTAATCAGGATATCAGTCCAGTAATATATTGAATCTCCAGCAAGGTAGAGGGGAATATTTTTTATTGACTTTGATGTCAAAAATTGTAATGCCTGTATAATATTATTGGACTAGAAAGAAAATTAATCACTAAAACTTCTTTACTGGACACGGAACCATTAATTGACAGACCTGTCGTTTTTCAGGAGAGAAGAAAAACACACCAAAGTTAAAATTATAGTAAAAGTGAAGAATGACCAGTACTTATTTGCCCTCAAGTTCAATAGAATTTTAATTAGGTAAAATTTTTTAACTTTTACCTAATTAAAATTTCTTTTATTCTTTCAACATTCTTTTATGTTGACATTTAACTTAGCTCACTTGGTCATGTTTACCCACTTCATCAAACTGTGTTACGAAGTGTTAAGTGTGTTGACAAGAAGAAATTTAGCAGAAATTTCTTTCCATAGGCAAAAAATAGACTTTGTAAATGGTACTCATATCCTAAAAAACTAAATTTAATGCTGTTTGAACTGAGAATAACAGATTTTTTTATTCAGATAAGCCCAGGAGTGGGACCAGGACGCCTATTCTATGATCACTGGATCTGTCTACAACTTGAGCGAACAATATTGACTCAACCGATATGGACAGCCATCACAACTTATTGGAGAAAGCCATTCTGTGGTCCTCAGTTGGTGGGCCCAGTGGGCCCATTTGACTTTACTGAAAGGGGACAAGGCTTCAAGGAGCTTTAGACCAATCTCAGTACAGACAAGTGACAAAATTTATAGCGCATGTTAGCAGAAGTTCTAGGAATATTCTCCCATTGTTTCACTAACTCACACGCTACATTTGTAGTTCGAAAAAATGCACAAAACAGTATTAAAGCAATTTTTAAAGCAAACAATTACAGTTTATATCTATAATTTCAGGAATAGTATAAATAACCTTTCTTTCAGTAGAAATTGCATTCTTATTTTCTGAATGTGGCTCCAAATACTCTCTCAGTTCATCGCAAATTAAAATAACTATAAATTTTTGCAATCTGAAATATGCAAAGCAAAAGCATCAACATATTTTCAGTAAATTATCCACCGGTTCAGAGATCTACGACTGTATTCTTCGTTTAAATATGAAAAAATCTGCGGCGAAAACACATACAAAGCCATTGTGTACTTACTTTGTCAACTGTACAACCCTGACTGACACACTTTCGACAACTTCCGTACTCAGAGAATATAGGATATCGGGCAGATCTGTTTTTCACTAGCAGCGACATCTGGCGGCCCACAACTTGCTGTCGACTCTCATAACGTAGAATAACCATCCAGAGCTGGTGCACTGGGATGCAAAATGTAGGAAAAAAGCAATCTTTTTACAATTCATAGAAGCAGAGCAACAAAATTAAGGGTAGCAAAATCTCGAGAATTTAGAGAAAACTTTAGGATGCAAAATTTAAAGGCCATTAGATTTTTAGAATTTAGGAGGTGCTGCTTGCAAAATGATTTCAGGACATACTAAGCTTACTCTGGGCCACAAAATGACTAGCATCCCCCCTGGATAAGCCTTAATTTACTTGGGTCTTGGGTAAACCTTAAGCATCTATGGGAAGTAGGCATAAGTATGATGAATAATATAATTCAGGCATAACTTCATCAACATGCAATAGAAGCAAGATAAAAATCAAGTGGAACAGTGTGTCTTTAACCGCCACTCTCACAATACATTGCCAATAATGTGCATATTGGAGGCTAACTAAGCAAGTTTTCAGGTATTGCAAACAAAAAGCAAAATTTTCCAGTTAATGGAACTTGTGAAGTAATGGATAAAAGGGGTAATAAATGAAAATAATTTTATAACAGAAGTTTTCACTGTGATTATAATACCTTGATCATCAGTGATTTAATGGTCGGCAAATTGTCCATTAGTTGACTGGTGATCTGAATGGTTCTAAATCTAGGAAATATCATGACCAATGAAGACCAATGACCATGAAGAAAGTGATAGAGTTGTTGAGAATGAAAAAAATTCAGTTTAGTGGGAATTCTCGGCACACAAATTACAGGACTTAAAGAATGAAACTTTGTAATTGAACTAGAAATTATGTCTACTGATAGAATTAAAGAGAATATTAGCACAAAAAATGATGGAACTTAAAAAACTTGAAAGAAATGTTCAATAAAGCAGACAAATAAATACTGAGCTTTCTTTCGTAAATTTTGATTCTGTTAAGGTCATAAATGCTTCATTATTTATGAACCACCATTTCATATTTTTAATTTCATAATTCCTACATGTCTTCTTACTACATTTAAACTGATGATCTAATATCCAGAAGAGCCCGAAATCCAGAACTACCAAAGTCCTGAAGAGTCTGGGTCTCTGACTTTGTGTTATTTAAGAAAAATAAAAGCATTTGCATGATTTCTCATTAACTAAATATACTTTATTTGTCATCCATTAATAGGTTTTTCAAATTTTATTTATTTTTAATGTATGTTATCATAAATTCATTGCTCAATCAGTTGCAAACTCATAATATGGCCGAATAGTTAAGCATGCATGCCCTGTAAAAAGTGGATTTTTCAGGCTTTTTTAATATTATTTTAATCTGAATGGAGAAAACTAGTGTTTTTTCTTCAGATGGGCTCTGAATTTGGCAAATTGGTGACAATTATAAAAACAGTAATCGAAGAAATCATAACTTCAGTATTGATAGAGAAAACTTGTCGCATATAATGTCTTAAATGTTTCCTACAGTCAGCAATGCCAACATCATACTCCCTAAGTAAACTAATATACTATATTTACTTGCATATCCCCCTTTTCTGTTGATCTTCCGCTTAAAACCATGAGGAGGCAAAATATGCAGTGTATACTATTACTGAAGACATGGCTTAATTGATTAATGTAGTTCATTAGAAAGTATGCATAAAGTCATGCTAATATCATTATATTATATATATAAGACTTCACAGTTTCAGTAATATTCTTCTTACACAATTTGCTTTCCTGTTTGTGCATTTTATTATTTTACCATAAACCTGGTGTTTCTAAATCATAAGCTGAAAAAATAAGAAGAGAAACAGCTTAGTAACATAACAGCTTAGTGAATTTAACAGCAAGTAAATATGATTTATAAGAAAGGGTATAAATGTGATAATAAAAAAACTGTAAAGTAAATAATTGTAATTTGGTCTTTCATAAAATCTGTATCTTATCAACGAAGGCTTCAATCAGAAAAGTGAAGAAATTTTATTATGTAATCACATTTTTTAATTTTCTTGAAATATTGATTGAATATATTTGAGTATGCTTATTAGCTAAAAAATAAGTGAAAATCAAAAGCATGTAGTTAGTCTTCAGTTTAGGAATATAAGCTGACTGTGTTGATTGTTTGGTAAACATTTAGACATTGTTAGTGACAAATTCCTTTTTCAATATTGAAACAAGTTGTAACATTTCACTAATTATCCGCTTTATAGTTGTTGCTAATGTTATACTTCTAACTGAAAGCTATACAAATATGCTTTTGTTTGAAATTTAAAAAATAAAATTTTAATATTCACAGTATTCTTTGTAGTTTTTGGAATGTATTCATGGAGTCATTAGATAAATAGAATCTCAGTATTCATGACATACATGTTCCTTCCTCAAAACAAATGTCCCCTTTTTAGATGTTACTACAAATTAAAATACTCATTAAGCCATTAAGTATATGAATTTTGCTATTAAATTTGCTAAGCTGTTGAACTTGTGAGAAATTCAATTAAAAGTTTGGGAAGCATCCATGTTATTGGCAGTTAGTAAATGATAAAGGATTTGTTACTATCTGAGTATCTGAACCCGTGGTTTCAGCATTTGGTAAAATTGTCAGGTTTTTGGTGTATTTTTAAATATATATGCATAAATACTCACACATATGTGAAAGACTTGGCAAGCAAAAGATTCTTTCAAAGAAATTTTGAAGGTCATAGTTAAGTAATATTCATCTGTTGCTAAGGTAAATATCGGCTGTATAGACATTTCCTTCTCCTAAAATTTCATGTTTCATATAAAATGATTTTTTTTATTATTGTTTAAAGTAAAACAATACCTATGAGCTGTAAAAGTAGTCAACTTTTTTTCATATTCTTCAAATTATCAATAAGTTGCCAGATTTTTATGGGATGCAGTGAATGAGAAAGTATCAGATTTTTATTTGAATTATCATAAATTAATATTCAAAATATGAGTACTAACATGGAAAGTTGCTAAATTTATGTTGTAAATATCTGACTGCCACTAAGTTAATGTGTGTGTGCATTATTTACATACTATTTAATAAAATATTATATTGTGATTTCATTATAGGTGACAGAATACTTGAAATGAATGGAGTCCTTTTAGAAAACCTCTCTTATCAAGAGATTGTTACAAAAATCCGAGAAAGTCCACAGGTTGTTCATCTTGTTTTAGAGAAGGGTAAACCAATCGAAACTAAATGTTTAAGAAATGAAATGCATCAGAAAGAAACTGATTCTGTTATAAGTGACCTTACTGAACCTAGTTCTACAAAAGACTTCAGTTCTCTAAGAGCTAATAAGACTCAAGAAAAGTCTAAAAATGACTATATAATTCCAACGCCCTTTGAATTATCAAATGAATTGGTCAGTAATTCAACTGATAATTCATTTTCATCCCTGCCTACCTCTACAGCAAGTCCAACTTCACATAGTGCCAAAGAAAGAAATTCAGCACCATCTTCATATCAACACAATAGTTCCAACAAAAATACTGTATCAGATGGAATCTCATCTTTATCCTCAGCACATTCAGATGTGGGATTTTCTAGCAAACTAAATAGTGCAAAAGGTTTTTCTAGTCATCCTCATGCCAAAGTCAGAAACCAAAGTAATGATGGTTGCCGAACTCCAAAAGCAAATCCTAATTCTTTAACATCATATAAAAGTACTCCAAATCTTGCTGATAATTCAGATGAAGAAGATATTAGTAAATCACATTACTTAAATAAAAGCTATGATTGCTTGCTTTCTCCACTTTTTATGCATCCTCATCAAGCTTTGATAGATTTCTATCAGAATTATTCTTATATAAGAGGTGAGTTTTTACAAGCTATGAAAATTATTATAAGCTTACTTAATTTTGTTAACTGAATGTCTATAAATTATTTATCTTGTAACAAGACTCAGTATAGCAAAAAAATTATTGCAGTTATTAAAAAGTGGTGAACTGCAAATACAACAGAGCTCTATTTATGCATATTTCAACAGACTGCTCAAATGGCATATCATCAAAATTTCAGTTTAAGGATTTGATGTATGTGTTTTATCCAGAGAATTTTAATGCTACTGCAATTATACAAATTTAATTTTATCATCATGCTTTAGTTTAAAATATCTGTTTTACAAAATTTTAAAATTCGAATTCAAACTGTATAATATTTAGTACAGAAAGGATGGTATATTTTAAGTGATTATCTTCAGTAAATAATGAGCACATTTTTCCAAAATGAATTTAATGTAATTGCACATTTTTATTTTGTAAAGAAAAAAAAATTAAGTCCCATCTGATATTTTACTTGATTCTTAAGCAGAATGCTAAGCGGGCAGAAATTAAAACAATATTAAAGCTCTGTGTTATACGGTAAGCACAGTTAAAATGTACTTACCATATAACACAGAGAAATGAAGCTTCTCCTCTCAGCAAATCTGTGTCTTCATAGATTCCTTTTTGTCTACTTTATCCCTCTAAGTGTTCCACCCTTTCATCAACTACTCAGATTTATTCCTGTTCATATCTGAAATACTCATGTCTTCCTTTCTCATATCCTGATGTACATATTTAAATGCTGTGAAAAAAATTTTTTATGGATAACTTGCAGAAGAAACAGAATATAATGGAAGTTATGTATTGTATAAATCAGAAATTTTACTATTGATAGGAATAAAAATAAATGTGATGATGAAATCACACAGAGATGAAATGATATATGAATATGAACGTGTTGAATAAATGAGAAAAAGTATAAAAGATGCTTCACTGAAGTAACTACAAAATGTTTTTTATTTATTTCAATAATACAGATTATATATAAACATATTTCAGTTTTAAGTTGCATTTATTGAATTCATCTTTGTTAATGTTTATATTCAAACTTGTACATAGGTGAGAAAATTAAAGGAACAACTATGAAAAAGAGTTCTTTTATGCTGATTCTGTTCTGTGAAATCATATAAAAGGTAGTTGACTGGTAGCTTAAAGTCAGCATTATCACATTCCAGTGAAATTCATTTGTAAATTTTTGTGCTCATTTCTTCAACATGGGGGAAGCGGCAGTGCGTACACTCCCGCCCCCAATGTTGAAAGATAGATAAGAGGATGCTTCATATTCTAATTTTAAGTAGATTAATATGAGTAGGTGGATTGTTTGGAGAAGGATTTCAAACATATTACTGTCTGGAAGGTGCAAAACACATGCAAAATTGCCTGAAAACATCTTTGAAAGGCTTTGATACAAAGGTATTGAAATTGTGATTTAGGCAAGTGTTATTTTGAATGATCATACAGACCAACACATTGTTATTAGTGTAGCTGTGAACACTGAAATATGCAATGACTTTCTTGATCCTTGTCAAGTTGTTTAGCAATGCACTTGGTAATAAATTTGTGTTCATTTCCATCACATTGTACTTGTGACTACTTACCTCAAGGACAAAGGAATCTAGTAGATGGAGAGGCCTGCATGTTTTCCAGATTTAATTCCAATAGGACATGTGTGATATGCACAAAGATGCCAACTTTATTGCAACCTTTACCTAGCACTCTTTAGGAGCTTCAAGGTGCTATTCATTGTGAATGTACATTTTTACCATGGGAAGTTATAACAATCTAAAATATAACATGTAAAGTTTGCATTTTTACTCTAGGGTGTCTTTATTAAATTTGTTCTGTGTATCTCTAAAATGTTGTAACACCAACTTTCCCCTACCCCACTCTATATTTACTATGTTCCTATTTAAATGTAATTTTTTCATAAATAGGCAGTTCTGCATTTTGAAGATAGTTCAGGCATGACAAAATAAAGATATTTTGCAGGTTTCGTGTTCTTAACTGCAGAATCTTTCAAGTTACCTGAGTTTTTGTCATTGTTCCCTTAGTTTTCTCTCCAATGTATATGCTGCTTTGAGTATGTTAAATGTTAAAAATATATATTTCTTCATTCGAAATATATTAGATGTATATCTTAATTTTTTATGTCTGTAATAGTTTCACCAATTCTGAAGAAATATTTTGAGTTATGATGCATAATCATTTCATTTTTAAATTAATTTTTATTTATTTTTTTATATTTCCCCCCTAGGCTCCTCAAGTAATATACACCAAATACCTGCTGTCCCTATTAGGAAAAAAAAGTTGAAAAAAATTGAAGATATATACAATTACAGCAATTCTGGTAAGTCTTATGCAGTTTTATGCTTTAAAGGGCTATCATAGTAGTACTTTGATAATGAATATCATGGATTTATCCAAATTGTAAAAAAGTTTTAACTATGAAAGATGATTAAATTTTTCTAAAAATTTTGTGCCAAAATGAAATGATTATTTAAAGTTAGTTTATCTGCCAAGAGAAATCAATGAGTAATGCACTGGTGTAAAAATTCTAGGAAATCATTTAGCTTTTGTCAAAGTGGAAATATGTACTGGAAGAATTAAGTATACTTTGAGTTCTGGAATTTTATTTCATGTCTGAAACCTCTTGGGATGGATTTTCTGTGTGATAATTTTATATCTGTCTGTCAAAATTTGAGAGAGGACATGGAAAAAAAGTTGGGCTCAAAGAAGCTAGTGGTCTAATTGGCGAATCTTTCGACATTTAGATAGGAATGATATTAGCAGTAACGGGTGAACCATGGCCAAATACAGAAGAAATGGCCGAACCATGGCCGAATACAGAATCAAGAAATTTCAAATGATATTTACAAATGGGCCTTACTTAAAAAATTACTTAAATTACTTAAAAAGGTCAGCATAGAGAGATGACAGAAAGTGACAGTATGTCAACGATATTCTACACCTTGTTGTTACTCATCATATTATTCCAAGCTGGGCTTACATTTCAGCAAGAGAATACCTGCCTGTGTATGGAAATAGTTTCTACTGCTTGTCTTTGCCAGCAAGGTCGCTCAATCTCTCTCCCATTGAGAATGTTTGGACTGGTTAGACGGCCCTGTGCACAGGGCCGTCTAACCAGCTTGGGATTTTACCTATCTAACATACCAGATGGACAGAATTTGGCACAATATCCCACAGAAGGACATCTGCCAATCAATGCCAAGCTGAATAACTGCTTGCGTATATGTTTTAAAAGGGAAATAATATCAACAACAATAGTTTTGTTGCACTTGTAATCTTGTCTTTGCCACCTGTCTCCCTTTGTCCAACATTCTTTCCTTTTACCTTCCATCGTGAGCATTTGTGTTTCATACTTTGAAGGATTCTTGATTTCTCTTGCAAGCACATAATTAATATCAAAGATACCTACAGTTAATAAAAGTATTTCGTTATTTTCCTGAAGTAGTTAGAAGCATAAAAATACAATGGATGGAAAATGCATATTTACGTAGATTATTTTTTAAGTAAGGTCCATTTGTAAATATCATTTGAAATTCTGCACATTTGTGTAAATAATTTGTACACAGGCTTTTAGCACAGAATCAGGACCTACTTGTATTGCATTAGTCTGTATGCTTTGTAATGCGAGATTGAAATGTTTAAGAAAATGGAGTGTCCAAGTGCCTGTGAAATAGTCATCATCTGGACCTCAGCGAAAACATGAATGAAAGCTGCAGATATTCATCTTCAGAGATATCAAGTTTACAGTGATGATGCAGTGAATGAGGGTAAAATACGAAAGGGAGTAAGATTATTCAAGGAATGTTGGAATACATCTGGAGAAGTGAAAACAGGCAAGATTGAACATGGAAATAAGTGTGGCTTTCATCAGAAGCTGCAAATTTCTACGAAGAGGATATGCCAAAACTTTTTATTTCGTATGATAAATATTTAAATTTAAAAAGAAAAATCAGATAACAGATGTTCTAGTATTTGATTTTCTTAAAATCTGTAACAATACATAATTTAATTGTATTAATTTGGAATCTATATAATTGTTAAATCATCGATTAATTGAAAGTTGTTTGTTCATCGATATAAATGGAGCAATATAGCTGTTATATATGTTAGTCTTCTGTTTTACACTGACTCCTATCAAAATACAGAAGTATTGTATAATGAAGAAATATGAACAAAAATATTGTTCTCCGTATTTTGACTACTGATTCAGTTTTTGTAACCAAATAAAAGTACTCTCCAGATTAAGTGGCTTGAAAATGCAGCTAAACTGTTAGTAGTACTTTTTAACATATTTTTAACATTTTTGCTTTCTTATCACACCATTATGATCCTCCATAATGGTGTGATAAGAAAGCAAAAATGAAGACTGTTTGAGGTGTGTGTGTTAATGCTTATATCTACGAAACTGCAAATGTTACAATCAATCTAGATACATCATTAGATAGATGAAAGAGCATATTAGCAAACATGCCAAACAATATTACAATTAAGCAAAGGTAGTATAGCATAGTAACATGTAAAAAATAGTGAAATTTTGGTGAAGCTCCATGTGCATGTGTGCCTGCGTGTGAGTGGCAAAGTTATCTGGCAGACAGTCAGTGTGTTTGGGTGGTGTTTGCTGCATTTTATTTCACCAAGCTAGTGGTGTTTCTGTTTATAAAGATTTGATGGTTGTAGCAGATTGTGTACCATTAGAATTTACTGTTAAGCAGCGTAACAGAATACAGGACTCGGAAGCAGGCGATATTTATATAGTTGATTTAATTATTAATGAACAGTCAAGATTTATTCTGACATCTGTATATGTTCATCCAATTGTTAATTCAGGAGATTTGAAGATGTTAAGTGCATTAATGAAATATTCTGAGACTACTTTATTAATCAATGAAGAGTTTACTGTAGATACAGAAGTTCCTGTTATTATGATGAATATTTCAATTTAGACTTAATTAAAAGGCATTTGATTTTATGAAATATCATTTTAATATCAGTATAGTGCCAAGTAACTACCCAAGTGCATGTGGCAGTTCGTTTATAGATTTAACATTTTCGAGGAACATAACTGTATTTTAGAATATTATTAAATATATATAATACATTCTGATTGAATAGTTTAGAATTAATAGCGTAAGGTAGAGTTGGGATATTTAAATTAATTTTTTTTTTTCTTCTTTTAGAAAATACTTTCTATGTTTCAATCCGCAAAAGCAGTCGTGGACTTGGCTTGAGTATATTAGGTGGACGGGATGCTTATAAGAATGATCCTTTCTCACAGTTGATTAGAATACGTAAACTCTACCCTCTGCAGCCAGCTTTGGAATGTGGGAAATTAGCTATAGGAGATGTCATATTAGAAGTTAATGGTACTAATATGATTGGGTTGACAAATACTGTGAGTATATTTCACATAATATATTTTAAGTATTAAAAATATCAGTTAACAATATTTTTTAATAAATTTGTCCACTTTTGCATCAAAATGCAAGATGATTTGACACAACCTGCACATTTATGAATTTATATACATCCATAAAGCCATATTAGAACTGCCTGTCAAAATTAAGAGCTACAGTACACCAGTTATCAGTAAATAGTAGCTGTAAATAAAGAATTGGAATCTAAGGCTTTCAACAAAAGCTAATCATTAGATTCATATCCATCAGTTATTCAGTATCAAAAGTGGATAGCATACTGGGGATTTACTGAATATTGAAGCTGCATAAATAACAGAAAGGCTAATTACCTAAGCAAAAACGGTACTTTTAGAAGATCATGATCAGAGTTACTTAACATACATTTTATGCACTGTATTGCATTATTCCTCTTCCTTCATGTTACTCACATAAGTGGTTCATGCAGATTTGGAGTGAATAACGACGACACTTCTTGATGAAATATCGAAACACACTTTATTTAGCCAATATTAATCAGGACAACTCCAAAATCAGGTTTACAGTCGTCGAAGAAAAATGCTACAATAAACACACCGAATCAATCAGTGACACAGCCTTCACAATATCAGGCTATAATGGTGGAGTCAGCTTCAATGCAAAGCACCAGAGTACAGCTCCTGACCTCCTCAGTTATTCTCGGAACTTCACGTACTCTGGAGACTCTACACGCTACAACTCATGATTCACTCGACTATACACTGTAGTACAGCTCCCGACTCCTCAGTACAGTCGTTCCCGGAGCTCAGCACACTCTCTCAATGGTGCACTAACTGTGATACACTAAGAGACTCTTTTGGTGCACTTGACGACCCACTAGGCACTCACTAACTATCAATTTGATGTACTCCGCACAGACTAACTCTCCGTGTACCAGCAGGGTTTATTTAGCTTTTGACTTCTGTTCGAGAACATTCTGTGCTAAACCAGTAAGAATTCAATAGTTCTCCATCCATCTATGGCATATTTCCACTTTTGTCGCCAAATATGGAAGCCCTACCTTCCCTATCCATTTTCTGGCAACCCTAAACCTGCTTTGCGGGGAAAGCTATCTTACCGCACCTGGACATTTCGTAACAACTGAATAACAGTTTATCTTGAGGCAAATGATCATCCACTAAGGTAATGATTCCCACAGAGCTGTCAATCAAACACCTTTAAAATTTTCTTCATGAGTTATCAAAGAATGAGTACTCAATTAGCACAAAATGTTAATGTTCAAACAAATGATGAACTGCTATTCTTATGTGGTGTCTTCATTCAGCATTACCTGGAAGAACTGCCTTACCATGAGTAAGTGTAGTTATTGGCTTAGTATCTACAATGATAAATCCAATAGATGCTTTAAAAAAGAAAAAACCCACTGCATCGGTCATTCTGAGCCTGAAATTGGCCATAGTAACATATATACATATATTATAATTTAGAATTTAGGACCGACTTTTATAATCCCAACACTTTTTAAACCTTTCAAGATGGCATACCTTTATTTAAGATGTTCCTTTGGGATGGATGGGAATCAAAAGGAATCGGGCCACAAGATAGGGGTTTGGCATTGCTAGGCTTAACTTTAGGGGGGGGAGATTTTAGTTCTACCATCATGATTTTCGGTACATTTTAGATTATTACCTAAGCTATCATATATGTTAAATTAACATTGAATAATTGTTTTCCTTTACTTTACATGAAAATATGTAAAACAAATTGCTTACTTTGAAACATAATTTTTGGAAGCTCTATTCAAACTGTTCCGAAGTTTTAATTGACAAAATGCATTAATAAACTTGAAAATTAATAAAAAAAAAATACAAGAATGACTGTTTGCAAGAAGTAACAAAATCTTTCACGGGAAGTGGAAGGCAGACACTCAATAAGCTCAGTCTCTGATAAAATGTTCATATCAGAATCTCTAGAAAATGTAGTAGTATAATTTAGCATATCCTTCCTCTGATAAATAATGCTTGCTCGCCATTATAAACTGAAGTTAGGGCTTTCCAAAATAAAAGGGGAAGAATGGAAAATATAATTGATAAAAGCAATGCAAAGTGTAATAGAACCCCACGCTACATAATAGCTTTAAAAAAAAAAAAAAAAGATTTGAAGAGGTATCAGAAATGCAAATGTTTATATGAGTGGCAAGTTAGAGTCAAGATCTGTTTGTTTACATTACACTTTTCCTTCTCCCCTGCAACAATTGGCATCAAAATTATGCAGAACGTAATCAAACAAGGTCAAGAACCTAAACTATTTCAGTTCAAAAGTACTGGATGCAGAGCACCATCTAGTGGTCTTTAAAAAATGGTTTAGCATAAAATGCATATATGCATTGCCTGTCCCTTGAGCTCACTCTCCAGTGATGCTTGGGGGGGGGATGCATGGCTGTGAGAGACGTTTATAGTAAATGCATATATGGGACACCAGTCCAGAAAGGATTGATTCCATTGATGTTATCTGTATTACTTTATATAGCAAATTGTTCATGCACAGAATCTCTGACCCAACTGTGGTTGCCTTCGAGAGCATATGGCTTGTGATAACTTCAGAATGCTTCTGATGCCTTGTGAACTTTGTCATGATAAACAGTAAGAATAATCAAGTCTAAAATGGGATTGTGTTTTATTGTTTAGTTGTATAATATTCACATGCTTTTGAAATAAATTTTTGCTTTAAATTCAAGGATACCAATCTCCAGTTACATCTTGCAATTTTTAATTTTAACAATTGAGAATAATTCATTGAAAATCATTTATTACATGAACATATTAACTGATTTTGCCTTGATATTAATTCTGGTTTCAATGTAGACCCCTCTCAATTTATTTATTCTCTAGAAATTATAATACAAATTCTTCATATGTTAAATGGTCAACACTGGATGTTTTATGTAGTAGCTCTTACAAAATCAGTTATAGTTTTCGACACTTTCAGAAAAGAAAGACAGCATAATGCCCCAAGCATGTCATGTTGCATATTATCGAAATTCTTTCATAGTATTCTATCATAAATAGCTGGATTGCTTTTCTAATACTGCTGTTTTAGTCATATAATTAGTGAGACAAGAATTATAAGAAAAAAATGCTTTTTTTTTTTTTTTTTTTTTTTTTTTTTTTTTTTTTTTTTTTTTTTTTTTTTTTTTTTTTTTTTTTTTTTTTCTTTTTTTTTTTTTTTTTTGTGCACAATGTAGAAGTCAGTTTCTTTTACATCCAAGAAGATGTTCTCTTTGTAAGCATATAACTACAGAGTGCTTTTTCATTATCAAATAACCAATCAATCTTCCACAAAAAAAAGAGGTTATTAGCCATTTCGTTGTTCCAGAATATTGTTTATGGTTAAGAATTCTTTCTGTAGACGATGATGGAATATGTGTCTTAAACATTCTTGCTCCTTTCCTCCCCCTTCCCCAAAAGAAACTTTCCCAGATATGCCGTTTCTTTTATAGACTGTAATTTGTAATAACTTTTTATAGAAAATATAATTTATCATTGGTATATACAACCATCTTGAACTGCAACTGGAAAAGAATAACTTACATAATCACACTTAGTTACTGTCTATCATGAATATTATACTATGCATTTCCTGTGGGGGGAACTGTGTAAAGTAGTGAAAAAATACATAGTTTTTTAGGATACTGTCTAGTGAATGATCGTTGCACTGTAATTTATTTTTTGTGCTAACTTGTTTGTATATTAAAAAAATAATTTTATAAATTTTTCATCAATTTCTTTGTATTTATTTTATTTTAGGAAGCATTAGAAGTATTACGATCTGCACCTATGGATGTAGTTCTGAAAGTATTTCGCCCATCAAAATCTCTTATTCCTTCATTTTCTACATATAAAGTAAGCTTTCTACTTAGAAAATGCTTTTATTATATATGTTTAAAAAATTTCATATTTTTTGTTACAAAAATTTTATTTTGTTTTTTAGGGTGCTATCTGGCCATTATTTGATTCGTCATCAAGTTCTGCAAGTAGTTCTCTTTCCCACAGAGAAACTAATTCATATAATGTTGAGACAGGGGTGGGTGCTTTTTTAAAGTTTTCTTCTGTAATACAATTTAAAACCTTTCTTTGTATACAAAAATGATGAGAATAAATTATCAGTTTTATGCACGTGTAAAAAATTTGCAATTATTTGCAAATTATGTTGATTTTTATGAAACCTAATGAACCTAAGGTACTAATTATGCCACCAAAGAATTACGAATCTGAAGTTAAATACGTAAACATACATGCTCGTGTCTGCAGAACTGTCATTATGGAAGGAATATAAGCACACAAGGGGTTTTTCAGTGATTTATGTTCTCATACTCCTTCATAATATTCACCATGTTTCTCACAAGAGTTGAGTAAATTTATTAGATTCATTTTCAGTTCTGTATCGCAACATGCATTTTGAACATCCTTGTATTATGAGCGTTACTAATAATTATGTGCACATAAAATGACTTTTGAATAGTATATCTGTTTCACTGTTATAAATGTATATTCATACCATATTTCATTTAAACCTGTCCACTAGGTTTTCAGAAATTTGACATAATGTGCAAATTCTCTTAATTTTGCACACAAATGCTTGCTGTAATTCACATCCAGAAAAAAAAAAAGTAACTGTTTTTGTTTGAATAGCTTATACTTGTTACTTTCAATTCTATTAGTGCAATAACTTTGTGTCCTCAAAAATATTGTATAACCAATCTTTGTAAATTATATAATAGGCATATAGTAAGTTCTGAATGTGATGTAATATTTATAGGATAACAAATTGTGTTGAAATGATTGCATCATCCTTTGGATGTATGAAAAGAAAAGTATGTGCAGCAAATGTTACTGTTTGATTCCTCAAAAGCTGCGAAATATTTTCAGTCATGATATTTGTTAATGTTCTAAATAATAAACATGTACTTAATAATATGCACTTAAGGTGAAGATATTTATCATTATAATGATACTCATGAATTGTGCATTGCACTGAAAAGTGTATACAGTCAAAAGTCGTTAATTCGGACACCCATAATCCGGAATGATCTATAATCTGGACCTCAAAGTTAAAAACTTTCTGCACATGCGCATAGGCGTTTAAGCGTGCGCGTAAGACCTTTACGACTGCGCATATGCGTGTGCGCAAACGCAGAATACGTTTTCGCGTGCGCATTTAATGTATAACGGACGGTATAGGCTAAAATTATCTATTTCAGTTAATGTTGATGATTGCGTTGTTCCTTAATCTTCGAATTGTATGCGGCTTATTATTTTTTGCAGACTGTAAGAGCAATTTCATAAAATTAAACTTGAACTTTTGATTACGTCAAATAGAACCGATGCTGGAGCTCCCAAAGGATCTACAAAACGAAAGTATGTTTCGATGTCCGTCAAACAAAAAGTGGAATTGCTGCAAAAAATGAATAAAGACATGAAGAAGGTGACAGAGAGTTTAGTGAAAACAAAAAAATTTCGATTGACAAGTTAGTCGGTATTCTCAGCGCAACAATTACGGTACTTGAACAGCGGAACTTTGTAACTGAACAAAAAATTGTCTGTTTATAGAATTAAAGAGAAATTATTATCACATAAAACGAAGCAACTTAAACAACTTACATTGAAAGAAATGTTTAATAAAGTAAACAAATAAATATTAAGCTTTTTTTTTTTGTAAATTTTGATACCTTTTAGATCATAATTGTTCTTTATTTCATAAATTACAGTTTCATATTTTTAATTTTAGAATTTCTGCATGCCATCTTACGAGATTTAAACTGATGATCTATAATCTGGAAAAATCGATAATCCGGAATCGGCGAAGTCCCAACGAGTCCGGATTAATGACTTTTGACTGTATTATGATATTGATTTATATCCTTTTGTAACATCCCCTTATCTAAGCTATGATACATCATACACACAGTCATAGTACTATCCAACAGAAACATTTTGATAACTAGATGTATTTGGGCCTACCAGTGAGAGAGCGGCTTTAGCACTCTCTCATTAAACAACTCTCTAAATATCTCATTAACATTATTTATATAACTTATATAAGTTACTAATGTATGTTATTTATACAATAACTTATATAAGTTACTAATATATGTTATTTATTCAATAATTTATATAAGTTACCAATATTTGTTATTTATGTAACTTATATAAGTTATATAAGTTACTAATATAAGTAACAATGTTCTAACTCGGAACATTGTTTCTTATATCTTAGATTTTACTACTGGAATTGTAACTGACTGTTTGGGCATTGGATTTGTGTGTGATGTAAATGTGAGCCATTTTTACTAATTTCCTGTATTATATATATAGTATTGCTAAAGTGTGTTTTTTTTTTTTTTTAATTTATTAAAAACTTGGTCTACAGTCTGTCTTCTAATGAAAGTTGTTGTCAGTTGAGTTAATGATTAATAGTCTTTCTTAATCTTTACAAACCTGTATAACTGTTTCTGTTCAGTAAAGTATTTTTCTTGTCTAAAAAAAAAGTGAGCTTTTGAATCTCTCTGCTCTTCAGAAGATGCAATTTTTAGAAAAGAAGTGAAAATTGGATTAATTATCTGAAGCAAAATTATAACTATTTGTAGCTGGGTGTGTTAATATTAAATTCATGGTCATTATTTGAATTTCATGTCGTTTGCATAATTTAAGATTAATGATTTTCTAGATATCAGTAATACAGTAATAATAAAATGCATAGTCTGTGGGCAGTTGTAAAGTAGGTCCCCTACTCTAACAAAGACCTAATTCCCTTACCCCACAAAGACCTTAATTCCAATTTCATTTTAAAATGAAAACTTCCATTCTTTAGATAAGCTTCTTTTCACTTTTTTCGATTATATATGGAAATGATATTTCAAATTCATTTAAAATGATATTTCAAGATTATTTGATTACATTTTTTTCTAAAAAAAGGGGCGGCAGATGTTCAGTGTTCTTCATTTTAAAATTTTGTTATCTAATAATAGATTAGGATTTTTGAATAATTAATTGTAAAAATGCAGGTATGATGTGTATGAATGTTGTAAAATTTGATGATTCTCCAAAAAATTATTTACAGGAATTTGAAGTTACTCTTGTAAAAAGAGGAGGTAGCTTGGGATTCACTATCTCAAAGAAAGAAATCTCCAGTGAAAATCCAACAGAGGGCATATATGTTAAAGCTTTGGTGAGAGAACCTGCTGCGTCAGATGGCCGAATTCAACCTGGAGATCAGATTTTGGAGGTGCTTTTTCAGAATTGTGTAAAATTATCAGTGTAAAACTTAAAGCTAAATTTTAATTCAGATCATGAAAAGTATTACGCTCTTTAATTGTAATTGCTGATTGTGGTGATCTGTTAACTTCTTAAAGCTGGAAGAGTGTTGTGAGTGATGCTATTTTTGTTTTGCAATAAAAAGTTAACCACAACTAAATGTTGTAGCCAGTACTAACAACATGTGACCTTCTATTTATTTTCTAAACTGTAATTTTAAATTCCTTACCAAGGCAATAAAATGACCTATTTAAAAAAAATACCAATATTAAACAATATTGATACTTTTATAAATTTATATTAACATTTGCATTAGAAAAGGGAATAAAGAGGCATAAATACTTTAGTTGAATAAAGTTTAAATACTTTAGTTGAATAAATCATGAAAAAAATATATTTTGTTTATTTTTATTATTGTTATATGCATATAGGTCCATAATGGATTGAATACATGCAGAACAGAAAATAGCTCGATAAAATTTACTTTTCCAGAAGAAAACTTTACAGTTCTAGAACTTTTCACAAAAGTGCTCTCGATTCTTCTCGGTATCACAGAGTACAATCAGTAATCATACTTCAAACGACTAAGAACATGAAACACAGTGTATTGCAAAGAGCATCTAAAAGGTGAAGCTTGTGCGGCGATCTCTCAATACTCCAAACTCAGCTAATAACTGAGAACTGATGCTCTCTCTAGTATTCTAAAGTTTTTACTCTTTTCACTGAAGAATTTCTAGTACCTTCCATTTCTCAAAATTACTGGAAGGTATATACAGTTAAAATTACATTTAAGGACCAGATATGGTTACAGTTACATATAGGGATAAATTACAGTTATACAGAGACTGGACCACAATGTTGCCAAATGGTTGCAAAGTTTGGCAACAGTAGTCGCCAAAACCATCGCCAGCAAGATGATATATCGCTAATTTAACAAAATATCCATTTACCTCAATGTTAAATGGACATACCCCTGTAATTTTATTTTTCTGGCAAAGTGACACATTTCTTCAGGCTTTTCATGTTGCATTTTACATGCTATTGTAAGTATCTGGAATCATATAACAGTAAACAAAATAATGCACAATGTATGTTAAGAAAGCTGAAAAACATAATATTCATCACCTTTCATCTAGGTAGTGTCTGTAATGTTGTGAAATGTATTAAAAAGATACTGTCAACTGAGAATGAATATCTGTACAATGGAACTATTGAAGAAACCCATGTTAGCTAAATGAGGAAAATGTTTCTTTGTCATTGCAGCAGTGTAGAAAAACTTGCCTTCAGGAATTTAAAAAGAAAAGGAGAAAAAGAGATAAAAATGAAAGAAAAAGGTGTTTCAGTAAAGAATTAAAAGTATGTTTGGTATTTCCTATGCAGGAATTAAATATTAAGAATTGTCAAAGTTTTTAATAAATAAGTATGGTGGAGATGATGTTTTAACTACCATTTTAGTTTCACTTTCATCATGGATGTCCAGAAAAAAGATCATTCAGGTGGAATATTTAATGGATAAATATTTTCAATTAAGACATTAATTTTAAATGCCGAAAATCTGTTCTAAAACTGCAAGAGCAACCTTTATAGTACCATAGGAATTGCACCTGCTTATTTGTAATAACACAGTGTAAATCTAGTTGGTCAACTATTATTTTTGAATTTGAACATATGTTCATTTTCTGAATGGATTAACAGATAATAAAATTTGAATATGTTGCTGAGGTTTTGCAATTGTTTTCTTAATGCATCTGGTATACATAAAATTATATACACAAATTAAAAAATATATATGATACTATCAAATTAATCATCATAATGTGGGCAATGAATAAAAAAACAAATTATGCCTAAGTAAATTAATAAAATATAATAAGAAATGTTTGTAACTTTTAAAAAATATAATTGAAAATTAAAAATTAGTATATTGACTTTCTCCTTATCCTTTCTTTGTATTCTGATGCAAAGTTAAAACTGAAAGTAATCAGAAATACTTAGTTATAGAGAAAATCGATATGCAATTATATATGCAATTGGTTATATTCTTTATTTTCTTTTTTAGGTTAATGGGACTACCATATCTTCAATGTCTCATTCTGAAGCTATATCATTTTTAAGAAATACGCCAAATGCAGTTACTTTGAAACTCTACCGTGGTGAAACTAATGCAACAAGTGGAGGCTTAGAAGATTATCACATATCAAAACCTTTACGTTGGGAAGCTCTAGAACTCTTAAATGATCGAGTTAAGCATAAAGATCATGAAGAATATAATACCTTGAAAAAGAAAATTAAAAAGAAACTGGCAAATGTTTCTAATGCTCCCAGCAATTCATCAACAGAAAGTGGAAGTACTAGTTCTTCTAGTGGCCAAGAGCACGTCATTGATGAAAGCTTAGAAACTAGTATTTCTGAAGATCTTGCTTTAGAAGGAATCGGACTTCTGCGTAATCAAAGGCCAAAATCGCTAGATGTATTGAATTCATCAGATAGAAAACATTGTTCTGGTTTTACAGAAGAAGATGTATTCCATCGTCAGTCTAGTGTCATGTGTCCTAATGTTGAGCAGAAAGTCAAGAGTGAAAGTAGTCAGAATGAAAGTCCTACTAAGAAAGGAGGAAAAAATCTACTGAAATGGAGGGGTAGCACTTTGCCTGATTCTGAAGATTCAAATAGTTTAACTGGCCATGAAATGTTTAATATTTCTTCTCAAAGTAGTTGCACAGCTGACACTAGAAATTCTGTTGAATTATCCTCTGATGATGAAAAACCTGTACCTTATCCTAGGACAACCAGCTATAAAAGTGAATGGGTAAATTTTTTTTTAGTACTGTCTGCAATTTGATTTATTTAAACTTATTTTTCTTTTTATATATATATATATATATATATATATGGGGGGCATGCTGTTCTTTTGTAGCTTCTTAAAATAAATTTATCAAATACTACATGTAAATTTTCTGCAGTTTGGGGAGGGAAGAGGTAATCTGGTGAATAAAATTCTTAAAAATTTAATTTCTAATTAATCATTTTCAAAGAATCTTGAAATAAGGATAGAGTATCAGGTAATTAGAAATAGATATAAATATTTTTTTTCATTATTAAATAGCTTTTTTTTAATCTGTCCCAGTAAAATATTAGGTGTTGTTTTAACATCCCTATAAATTTTTCCCCTTTTTCCACCTCAAATTGTAATTGAGAGGCTTAAATGTATAGGCAAAGACTGAATACTTTTATCTGAGTTCCATGCATATATGTTAGTAGCTGTTGACCAGATGAATTGACTGATTTTTGTTATTAAGTAGAATACATGTTATCTTTGATGATAGCTGGCTCATAGGAGGAATAAAGGTGGAACTGAATTTTGATGACTTTGACTTTTGCTTTTTAAATAACTTGTAAAAAAGGAATCTGGCAGCTCGCAATATAGAATTTAGTGTATTGGCTTTAAAAATGCCCTCAAAACTTAATTCAACTTAAATATAATTTTTCATTATGTGGTGCTTGTGAAGTCGGATTAGCTGTTTAAATCAAACTGTGTAATTTTTGAAGTTGCTGCAAAAGCTGTTGAAACAACTGAAACCACTCTGAAAATAAAAAAATTATTGAAGATGATTTTCAAAATATGATATTTAGGCTTGAATACTAAGCTTTCGTTGATGATTATGAACTTTCCATGATGGGCTGAAGGACATTTCTTAAACAGTTTTAAAAAATGGTAATTTTTTAATTCCTTACTGCAGTCATAAATTCATGAAAAAAATTTTCCATATGTTTTAAAATGCAGTTCTGAAGAGAATTTAGAAATCATGTATTCACTGTAATAAATAGATTTTTTTTTCTTCTATTGCTCAATATTTTTGAAATATTCCCTTTATAGGTTAATTCATTTGAAGTATGCTTGGATAGGGGTTGGCATGGACGACTAGGTTTCAGTCTTTTTGATCCACCACCTGTTGAACCTGATTCTCCTAGAAACTTGTTGCCCATTTCAGCAGAAGTGAAAGCAGTTTATCCTGGCAGTTTAGCTGATAAAGATGGAAGAATAAAAGTTGGAGATCGTATAGTTGAAGTAAGTGCAATATATTCACAGGGTGCGCAGTACATTTGCTTGATGTGATAACTTGTTGTAATGTTTTGTTGCTTTAAAAACTGAAGTGAAACTTATTGCTTTGAGTTAAAAAATTGTATTTTATAAAAATGTAATTTTATATAAGTTTTTTAGCTAAATTTTAAATTTGTAAAGCTCTAATTATTAGAATTGAGAAAGATTAGGAAGGATTTGAATAATTTTCTTATTTTAAAAATCACATTATTAATTTTAGCTAATTATAGGTTTATTTATTTCAGCAAAATGAACAGTAAAGGTGCACAAGCATATTTTTTAACTACTTCATTAATTTTTATTTCAATGACTAAACCCATTTCTCTCCAGCATGACGTTGAAGTCAGTTGAGTTGAGTTAGCTACATGCTGCTTACTGTTTGTACCTCAGATCATGCATGTCATTACAGTTTCCAGTGCATGAGAAACTTCTGCAGCTGGAGAAAAGCATTTTCTACATCTGTAATCTTCTTTCTTAGCTTCACATATATTTTGAATGGCTATAAATATTTCATAATTTTTGGTGGTTGGTAGGATTATGGGTGAATGATGATTATAATAAGTCTTAGAATTAGTTATAAAATGCTAATGAATTACTAGTGAATAATTATAAGGATATTATAGGTTGCTCTCAAAATGATTTTCTTTCCTTTCTTGTCCCACATGTCTAAGGGTTTCTGTGAAACCTTGCTGACATCTGTTCAGACAAATTTCAATCTATTAGGTTATTTGAGTCTCTGTTTTAGTGGGTTTTTTTAATTATTATTATTATTATTATTATTATATAGCTGAGGATTCTGACATTATCTTCAAAAAGAACTTTTAGTATTTTTCTAGCTTCCCTTAATATGTGTGGTCCTATTTTGTTTTTGTTTGTGCCAAACAATTCTTTTCATTGGACAACGAGTGAATAAAATAATTTCTCTGTAATATTATTTCATTATTTTCGCTCTGTGCTTGAGGTGAATAAATTACAAGTGTAAGCAAAATGTTAATAGCATTTAACTCTCATTGTCATGTTTGAAATTAAATTAAGATGATTCTTCAGTTTAATTTTCAGTTATCTCATGAGAGTTGTTAAATTAGTATTTGACTCAATATACTAAAATAATTGCTGTTTTGTGTTCTTCATATACATGTGTGTGCTATTTGTATTGATGTGATTGAAAGCAATCTTTGCTTAAAGAGTATGTCTCTGTAATTTTCCCTTGTAGGTGAATAAAGAATGTTTGCTGAATAAATCTGCAACTGAAGTCATTGATATTTTACGAAAAACCAGAGGAGTTACTAAAATGATTTTTTGCAGGTGAGTTATCAAATTCAGAAATTTTTCTTGTCGAAAGCTCATTGTTATGTATTTAAAATTTAATGTTTGAAAATGAAAAGTTTATGTAAAAGTTTTGTGATAAGCCATTTTAGCCTCTTTAATGCAGAGTTTTTAAGCAGATGAATATGGAAACTTGAATTGGTCATAATTGAAATAGGCCTGAAGGCATTATATATATATATGTTGAACTTGTAGATGTACTGATTTGGCCTGTGTATTACTTTTAGTAAATCAGGTGTTTATGAAAGCTTATTAGTACTGTGAGAGGAAGTCAACATTTTTTTGCACTTTGTCTGTTACTCTCCATGTTTACCCAGAAGTATGAATTGGACAACTATGTCATTTTTCTACATAATTTCTTTTTTTTTTTTTTTTTTTTTTTTTTATGATTGTGGCCTTATAAACTTGTGTATTCTGTCCAAGAAAATTTCTGATTAGTTATGGCAACTATTTTTGCATCACTTCCCACACTTCTTTGTCTGTGATAAGTCAACAACATTGTAAATCATCTTTGAGCAGTCCAAAGAAGTGATAATCAAGGAATGCACTAAGATGTTCCAGCCCCTTATTACCTAAATGGTTAATTGTTTGAATAATGGTTTCATGCTTTGTGTTAAGCTCTTTTGGCACATAATTTGCACAGATTTTTACAGAAGTTGAGTGATGATTTGATTAGCAGAACCATGAATAATGTGCTGAAAACATGCTGCATCATCATTGGTAACTTGCCATTTTGCTGGTATCTTCTTTTGAGCTTCCTAAATCTTATTGTCTGTGATAGAGCATGATGGAACTTCTCTTCATTCTGTGTGCATCATGCTTATTTGGTCACTTTTAAAGTGCTGTATCCACTGATACACACTTCTGCATGATAGAGAAGTATCTGAATCTAAAATGCCTTCTGAAACAAAATCTCTATATTCTTCCATGGTGCATGTTGATTTTGAAGAGCCATGTTTATATGGTTATAGCAGCAAAGAAAATTATCTGATCAAGATCATACTTTCATCACATAGTAGCAACAGTGTCATCTTTGCGTTATGTATCCAACAAAAGCATAACAAACATAAGATACTTTATGATGCAAGTGTGGATCATTTTTAATTTGCTCATTTAAATTGTAATTAAATTATGTATTTGTCTGTAGGGAAGTGAAAATTAAACTATTTTCTGAATTAAACAAGTGGTTCCAAAAAGTGCTTAGTTTCCAAAATATGAAAATTGCTTTTCATTTTGTTGCATACATTCCAGAAGCTGTCATAGACATCATTCATTGCCTTCTGATCATGCTGAAGAAAATTCTTAAGACTTCATGTGTTCTATCCAATGTCTTAGTTCTGGAAGTGTGCGTACTGTGTAAAGGTGGGCAAGAGGCATGGCTGTATCTAAGGGGGAGATGCCATAAATGCAGTAGCCAAACTATTTCCACTGACATACATTAGTCGATTCCTATCTTATCAAAATAAGATGTCTTTGTTTATAGAAAGTCTTGGAAGCTTGGAAAGAAAAGAAGTCTAAAGTATTTTTATGTAATGCTCATTGTGCAAGCATTTCTTTGTTCGTCCTTGGGAGGGAAAAGGGATCTAATAATTCCAATGGATGCTGTGCTTTAATTTCCAGGTTTTGAAGTGGCTTCTACTAAAGTTACATGGCTTTTGTCATACCATTATCGCAAGTTATGTGTGGAATTCACTATGACGCATTTACTAAAATAATACAATTTTGAACCTGTTGAAACTTATCATCATTTGACTAACATATTATTCAGTTCATCACCAACTTTCGTAAATTTCAAACGCATTTTTGTACCCATAGAAGATGAATATAGATAATCAGTGCAAACGTGCTGTGCTATATTTTTATTTTCAGGTGGTGAATCTGTCAGGTTTGCAGTGGTAAAAATTAATAGTGTACATGGTGAACACACTATTAGTGTAAGGACCGCCCAGAAATGGTTTAAAAAATTTTAAGTTGGAAAAAGCAGCATTGATGATGAACCCTGTTCAGGACGTTTTGAACTGTTAGAACCAAATCAAACGATTAATTCAGAAATTTATAGTGAAGAACTTTGCCGTCTAAACTCAGAATGATCAAAAATACCCATGATTGGTGAATATCAAGAAAGTGTTGTTTCATCATGATAAAACTGCATACGGCTCGAACAATGCTGCAAAAAATTAGTGAATTTAATTGGGAGCTTTTGCCACATCCTGCTTACTCCCCAGATATTGCCCCAAGTGATTTTCACTTATTTCGTGCTTTACAAATTTTTTTACTGGGAAAAAGTTAAATTCTAAACAGGATGTACACAATGAATTTTTCAAGTTTTTTTGCATCAAAACCAGAGTCTTTCTACAGCATAAAAAAGCTGCTTGTAAGAAGGTGAGACATTGCAGATAATGGAGAAAAATATGTAATTGATTAAAATGTTAAATTGTGTTTTTTAATATTATTTAAAAATTTACCCAAAAAATGTGCACAAATTTATGGACTGACCCAATAGAATCTTGCAAAGAATGACTTCAGTGCTGTTCATTAGATTGTTCAGAAGTTGCTTTTGTTTATCATTTCCAACAGCTATTTACTGAAAAGTGGTCTTTTTAATTGGTTCCTGGTAGAATTCAATTATAAAGATGCATCCTGATTTAAAATATACCTAACACTAGTTAGAAAGAACCTACATGACTTAAAATGCCTTAGAACTGACCTGTGGGCTTCATTCAGTAGATAATTTCATAATTACAGTATTCTGTGATATGTATGTCTGATTTTTGTGTTTCTTCATGATGTCTTTCTTGCCTCTAAACATTTTCATGCATATCTCAAGTCATATTAGCTGAAGACGTCTTAAATATTTTTCCCCAAAATTCAACATGAAGTGACTGTAAAAGTGTGTTTTATTTTTTATAAAATCTTTTCATAATGAAATGCTCTGTACTAATTTGTAGCTTTCTTCCAAATTTGTTTCTTTCCACTAAAGCACTGGTAAGAAAACAATGTTATGACATCATACGATTCACTTGCTATCTATTAAAATAACTGGAGAAAGATTCATTTATATAAATAATTTGCACTGAGCTTTGATTTTGATAATTGTTAAGCATTTTTTTAATATTTAGTTCGAAGTTTTTTATGTGTTTTACATTTGTTTTTAATATTTCAGGTTGGAAAAAAGGTCCTGAAGTGTCTATATAGCTGAATTTTCTAGTCATAAGCTGTTATTAGTCAGATCTGAGCCATAACTAAGTTTATGCCATATGTAATTCACCACAGCTGTACCAGATAGATAATATTCATTTAACAGAAATTTTAGAATCTCATTCATACTTGTATATTCTGAATCATGTTCACTTTCATATATTTTGGACTTTAAAAAAATCACCTTCATGCTTGTAAATTAATATCTTTACAAAAATCTATCTGCATTAAATTATTTACACAAAGAGCAAGTATATCTTTATATTTACAGTTTTCTTATTACTGCACTTTTTAAACTCACGTTTGAATTATTTGTATATATTTTCATGAATATTAAGCCTGGTATTCTTTATACACTATTTTACTCTGGCCACGTAAGCATTTCTTATTTGCGTAGTGCCTGGGGATTATAACTCTAAGAATAAAAGGATGATGCACTGAAGATACTTAGTGTATTTAACAATTTTATTTCTGTATTTAGATTCAGTTGTTTATTGAAGTCAAATATTAAGTATTACATTTGTGTGTACTATGCTCATTTTCTTTCTTTGAACATATCAGTTACATGTTAGTTTATAAATAATTGTTATGTATGACTAGACCAAAAAGTGCATTTTAAAGCAGAAAATATTTATTTGTATCTATCTTTGTGTTTGTAATGATATTTTTATACATAGTTTCATAAGTTATAAGTGTATATAAATGAGAGGACATGTAAGTGTGAATGAATATACATATCTGACTAGAGTAATAATACATTTGTCAAATTTAAAATAATTCTTGCAAAAATTTGAGTTAAGTGTTTTATGTGTATTGCTTTGCATCTTAAATTTTTTATCATACTTATAATACAATTAGAAATTTTTTTACCACTTTTTCCCGCAGTTTTGTTCTGTGTCCCAAACTATATGTGTAATATCTGCAAAATGATTTCTTATTCCAAATTGTTTATTTGGCAAATAAAATTTATTAGTGTATCAGTTTAGAAATCAGATATGGATATTATTTATATATGAAAATGGGTTTGATCATCATAAAATTTATCAATATTTTTCTGTACATCTCTAAACATACTTTAGATGTCACTTTGTAAAATTTCCCCAAAACGTTAGTTAAAAATGGATTTACATTTTATTTAAATACATATATGTACTACATTTGTAGATCACTGATGAATTCTATTTTTGATGTATTTGTATTAATTGTGTGATTGTAGATATATCTTTGCGTATTTTGATGTGTATAGGATTTTAATGCATTATTATTAAGAAAATAAAATCACTTTTTTGTGAGATGTATTTTATCATTTTTTATGTTTCTTATTTCTTTTTAATTAGAGGTGTTAATAGTTTTTATCCTCACTTTTTAAGCACATATTTTTCAAACAATAGGATGTTGCCACATATTGTTACTATCCTGAATTAATTTTAAAGGAATAATATAGCAAATCTAAAAATGTATGGCAACACTTAACACTCTGTATGGAATTCTAAAAATATGCTGTACTTAAATATTTTGTTGAGTTTTATGTGACATAAGTGCGAAGAAAGGGAAGTAAAGTTAAAAAGATTTTTTTAATTATGCAAATCACTGTACTCAGTATTAAAAAAAACTGAACATTGATATAATGAACTGAGAAAAAAACTGAAAAAAAATAATAGCAACACTTAACACTATTGGGAATTCTAATGCTATTCTGCTTTTAAGAATTTTCTGATTTTATTGTTGACTTTTATGTAAGTGCGAAGGAAGTGATATTTAATGATAAAGCTAAAAAGACAAAAAATAAGCTGTGTTAGCAGGAGTGAGTCCGAGAGAAAAGAGGTGAACTTCAACCTCTTTGAGAGCATAAAAAACCTTAATAAACCCTTGGGTGCAGTGTTAATATCTAAATCCTTTGAGATATTCCTTTTTGTTTTTTCTTCCCTCCCCCACCCCAGTATTTTTATTTATTTGAAGAAAAATCATCGAAATTTTATGCACATAATTTTTCTTTTCCAAAAAATATCAATTATCCTAATTTTTTGAATATCTAGGTAAGCAACTGTAGTTACGGAATTCTGAGCTTCAATTACAAGAACCACATAAAATAAATTTGTAAAAATATTAAATGTCAAAATTAAATATGGCTTTTAAAAATTTACACAAATAAGCAATTTATCTGAAATTCTAATGAAAAAAGATTCATGGAAATTGTTTGATTTTGTTTGCATCCATTACTTAAATATGATTTTAACACTTAAGCCTGAAATTAAGACATGATTTTGTGATTGTTGCAGTGAATATTGCATAACATTCATTTTATGCAATATGAAACAATAATACATCTTTATTTATAATCTTGGGTATTTTAGTGAAATTGTGGCTTTAAAATGCTTTCATGTACTTCCTTTAGATCTTGTATATTTATTAATGAAAAAGAAGACTTAGGTCCATAATTCCATACCATCTTCTCATATACATCCATACATATATTACTTGGACTGCCTTACCAACAAATTTAGAATGCAGCAAAATATTTCTAGTGTAATATGAATTTAATGTTATGATGAGCAGTTAAAAATATAAGTATCATTTTCATCTTTTATTAATTTATTTGGTCAGTTAAGGTAACTTTAATATGTTCATTGTATGTATCTAATATCACTTTATTCTTGTTCTAATATGAATTCTCATGGTAAAAAAAGTTTCTGATTTTTAATATTTAAGATCTTTCAAATATTCTTGATAACAAATTATCTTTAAGTAATTATTTTGTAGATATAAATATTATCATTTTGTTGATATTTGTTGAACTTTCCAAGATTTAATATTTATCTGTAAAGCTTAAATGAACAGTCAGTTTATTTTTAAATGCAAATCATTTTAAATGAGCTCTTCTGTAGGAAAAAACAAAATGCAATGAGGTGAAAAATTGTAAAATTTCTTCAAATTTATTTTAACTGAGCATAAAATTTCATAAATTCTCAGTGTAATTGTATTGACTAAAAAAAATAAATTTGTTTAATAGTTAAAATTTTGGAAACAAAGTAATTAGAACTACAGACTTAACTATAAAAATATTGAAAAAAATATAACGATTTTTTTCCTTTTCTTTCTAATTTATTATTTTCATATATTATGAATTTTTAGAATGATGATAAGTGTTTGAAGTATCAGTAAATTCATCAATATGGGTGTACATTTTCTGTCAGATTGTCACTTTTGTCTAAAACTTTTTGTTGCCCTTTTTTGGAGGGCATAACCACCTTGGTAAATTTTGCGAAATTTGTAGAATGCACCAAATATTTGGTAACCATGAACATATTTCTCTAGACAATTACTATATAAAAATAAATCTTCAGTGTTAGAAAACAAATAGTTGCTTTTATATGCAGTTTTGGTATAGTCAAAGTTCCAATAGTTTTTGTAGATAAATTCTGATATTTTTTGTGTTAAACTCAATTTTGGCATGAATATTCCCTTCCCCCCCCCCAAAAAAAAATCACTTAAGGGAACCTGCTTAGAATCTGTTCGTAGCAATTGTCACAGAATTTTTAGCAGAGCAAAAGAAACAAAAATCCACTTGTGATGTTGCTAATCGATATTTTAATTGTGTCATAAATAAACAAATGCATGTGTCTTAATAATAAAATAATAAGTTTTCATACTTTAGAATTTGGCAACATCAGAAAAATGTAATTTGTGTCATGTTTGAAAGGGTTCCGAGGTTTATGAAATATTTAATGTATGTAAGCTTAAGAATGTTTTCCTGAACTTGCAGTCTTTACATAATCTTTGCTATTTTATTAGTTCAATTCTAATATGTGAGTAGGTTTATTGATTGATTATTGAAAAAATACCTAATTATAATATGCATGTAATAAAGTTTCCAGTTTCAAGTCATCATACTTTTTTTCGTTAAAAAATTGTCCATCTGCACAAGGCAGGCTAATATGTAAGCACCCATTTATTATATATGTGTGTGCATATGTCATATGCAACCATATGAAAGGTTTTAAAAATACTTGTACAGTACAAAGTCTGTAATCTGGACTCGTAGGGACTTCGGTGATTCCGGATTAGTGGTTTTTCTAGATTATAGATCATCAATTTAAATCTGGTAAGATGCCATTCAGAAATAATACAATTAAAAATATGAAACCATAATTTATGAAATAAAGAGCAATTATGATCTAAAGGGTATCCAAATTTACAAAAAAAAAAGTTTAATATTTATTTGTTTACTTTAGTAAACATTTCTATCAAAGTAAATTGTAAGTTGCTTCGTTTCTTGTCCTAATATTTTCTCTTTAATTCTATAAACAGACATAATTTCTTGTTCAGTTACAAAGTTCCTCTGTTCAAGTCCTGTAATTGCTGTGTCAAGAATACCGACTAACTTGTCAATCGAATTTTTTTTTCATTTTCAATGACATTCTCTGTTACTTTCTTCACTATTGGAAGCACGCATGGGTAAAAGCTTTACTGGCTTAACGCGCATGCATAGTGGACATGCGCATCAAGCACAAATGCGTAAACGCATTACACGCATGCGCAAGTTTGTAGCTTTGAGGTCCGGATAATGGACGTCCAGATTAGAGACTTTGTACTGTATATTCTTAGGAGGGGAGCAAAACTTGTTTCATGTGAACTGTGATTAAGCATATTTTTATTTCATATGTTTGTCAAAGGTTTCAAGTAAACTATTATTCAGTACTCATTTTCTTGTAAGATATTCCGATGCATAAACGAATTTAAATATCGATCTTCCACATATCGAACCTTCCAATAATTGATGCCTGTTTCCACTGTATATAATTATGGTCTTGCAGTTTAATTCATATGCTGTTTTTGATAGTTTTGATTAGTAAATTTTTTCTGAAGTATTAAATTTTTAACACAATCCACTTTAATGCTTAAAATCTCTTTTTAAGTACTTTATATTAAACAATTGGTTATAAGTCTAGTGTATATTATATTTTATAAAATAAAGTACACATTTTTAGTGTGTATTGTATTTTTACAACATTCCATGACACTTTTGGGAAATTCAAATAAAATCAGTTGTTTCTAATTATTAAATATTATAGTTTAATTTTAGCAGAAATGAAATTATGTGAAATTAGTCAAGTTGTATTGTATTATATTTGTAAGGCATTTTACCTTTTTGTTTGAAAAATGTATTGCTAATCTGAAACCTTTGAAGTATCTATTTATTTTTGCATTAGCATTTTTGCACATTCCACTGTTAATTGCATTTTATGTTCTATGTGTTCATAAATGTCATGTCTCAACTCGTATAGAAATCAATGTTGTGATTCATGAAATGATGAATGTAATTTTTAAATGTTATTTCTGATATGACACTTGTGCCTTTTAAATAAAATTCCACATTGTTCATCATTGTGCTTGATAATTTTATCTGAATAATTTTTTTCTAAAACTGGCTTTATTAAACTTTCTGCACATCTTAAAATTGAAAACAATTTTCCTGTTTCCAATTGTAAAAAAAAAAAAAAAAAAAAAAAAAAACTTGTTTATGAATTAAATATTTTTTTCTTCCTCTGACTCGACTCATTTGCACTGGAACCTTAATATGAATTAACCATTATTAAATAGTGTGCATAAATCTGATGAACATTCTTGAGCTTTTAGTGACCATAATGTGTAAAAATATGTTAAAGAATTCTTTTAAATTTTGCTAATAAACCTTTTCTATTGGTATAGAATCCGAAAGGTTGGGTTGTAATTTTGTAAATAAAGAAAGAAATTTTGTAGAATAGAATGTTTATGTTTACATACCTTTTAATTTGAAGAATTTTTATAATAAAATATATATTTTAAAAAACATATACAAAAATGTTGACCCTCAGAAGCATCTGTTTCTAACAGAAGCTAACAAATTCTTAGAATATCTTTCTAGAATAAAATTAATAAAAATTAAATGCAGAGTTTTTAAATGTGCTCCATTTATATAGCAGATCAAAATAAATCGTATGAAAAGAGGACTTCTGTCTGAATCAAAGTTATATAAAGAGTTTGGTATATTTTCATTATTTGCATTCCTTTCTAATTAACATATATTTGAATGGTCATGATTTCTTGAAGAAAACATAGTGTACGATCCTTAGAATGAAATAATTTAAAAAGATCCACCTCTTTCCTTGCAGAAGTGAAGTTTTGATGAAAATCAACTGATTGGCTTTAATGATACTGGACTGAAATCAGCAATCTGAATGATTATCTGATCCTTTGGCAGTGCTCTAAAGTATTTAAGACACATGCTGATGGTTATAGAAGTTGTGTTTTAAGATAA